ATATATATATATATATATTAGCTTTTAATCGTGGTAGATATGGATAGTTAACTCTATTTATATTTTAAGGAGAGTAAGTAAGAATGAAAAGTAATTGCTAGTAAATTGCTTTTCCGGAAGTTGGCAGCCCTGCATGCATTATCCTCGGGCAGAAATTCCTATTTTTTTCTTGAGCTGTGAAAAGCTTAGATCCGTCTATATTGGTGTTGGTCTTACTTACATTATAACTCTTCTAATTTTTCTCTTTCTTTGCACAGGCTTGTCGAAATCTCTTCCTGCACCAGGTATGAATTGCTAACTTTTATATACACTTTCAATAACAACTTACTGCGGTACTCTTACGTCGGGGACACCACTGAAAATACGGAGTCAAAATTCTAAGTCGCAATTTCGAATTCTAGCCAAAGTTCACACCTAAAAAAAAGTATGATCTTACCTAATCTCTTTGATTTCAAGTAATTAAAGTTTAATTTTTATTCCAATTGAGATGATGATGCATTAATTTCATGTTAAATTTGTTAGTTAGTTTCATGTAATTTTTAAAACACATTAAAAATAAATAACAATAATGCAAGAAACAGCTATCTAATGCAATTATATTTATTTATCGAAATACATTATAATGTATTATAAAGATTCCTTAAAATAAAGGAAGTACAATAATAAATTACGATAGCAGTATTTTTGTGATCAGATTCACCCCTCCCTTTATCTGTGGCTCCTCTTACGTAAAAGTACCATTATTATACATAACACAATTTTATGTATAACATTTTTATACAAAGCATAGCCCTTATTATACATAACATATACATAATTGTTCCCATTGATCCACCTAAATATTGAAATGGTAATAAACACTTAATGATATATGATTGTGCTGAAGTATTGTGATGTTACTAAGGTAAATCACACTGCATGTAAATAACGTGTGTAATTTTTTGCTGATTAAAAATTAAGCCCAAGTAGTTAAAACAGTTTTTATTCAATAAACTGTCATTTTAATATATATATTTTTGATAAATTTTTAATACATTTTTTTAAAAATATTTTACGTTTAACAGAAACAGAATTAACCTTTTAAATGCTTATGATCTATTTTTTGAGCATGTCTCTTTTTCAACATGTTTTAGATTGATAATTCTAATCTAGCATTCTTAGCACTTACGATTGGAAAAAATGAATATTCCTATCAATCAAAATCGATTCATAGAATAAAATTATATATCTTGTAATATCTATTTTGTTCTGAAATCATACAGGTGTATATTTCAACAAAATGAGTAGCAAAGTTAAGAAATTTCCATTTATTAAGCATACTTGCTACCACGTTTTTTAAAGGCACTTTTTCCTTAAATGCAAATTAAAATCCCTGTTATTAATGCTAATGAATAAGTGAATAAAATGAGGAATTAATTTATTATGAAGGCCACTTTTAGCAGGTTCCTACATTCCATAGCAAAGTTTTGCTCTAATCATTCTACATCCGAACTGTCATCTCAAATTTATTTTAGAAACTTTTTTTTAAAATTTACTTTAAAAAAAATCTAAATGTGAAAACATATGTTCTTATTTATAAATGTTTTAATTTAATTATTTAAAATTTTTGACCAATAGAGAATTATATGACATTTTTTATGTCATTTTGCATAAATATTATAACATTTGACCAGATTCCTGGAACCAACCTAATAATAAATCTAAATTTTATCGATTACTCGGAACCGGCCGAGTATCAATTAAAATTTGTATCGTGTACCAGAAACCGACAGGTTCAATACAATAAAAATATTTATTTAGAAAGTAAAAATAAATCATTTTTCAAGGCTTAAATACATTAAAGATTTAAATTTCTAAATATATGCATTTATATTTCTTAAATTCATTTTTGAATCTTTACCTTTGAACAAACAATACACGCCAAACGGTTTAGTTCCATCGTTGTTTAAAACTCCATAGTGGTATTTTCTCTTTTGGTCATAAATTGATATTTTCCTTAATAAATATTTTTTATTTATTTGTTAATTTTAAATGCCTATTGGAAATAAATTTAGTTTTAGTAAATATATTTCTAAACAGAATTATAACTTTTTTTTAAATGATTACGACTTTCACTTTTTTAAAATTCTTTTTCTATCGCATATTTTGACGAAAACTGAATTAATAAATAATATTTCCTTTTTCAAGCGTAATTCATATTTATCAAAATTTTGTTTATTTCGAAGAACTCTTAAAGTAGAATTAGTAAATATTTACCTCTCTAAAAAAAATTCAAAGTTTGAAAAGAATGATGCATTGATTTAAAACCTTCCAAATGCTTAATGTAAAAATTAATCTTATTTAAAGATTAATAAATATTTTTTCATTAAATATTTTATGCAAAATAAACGAAGAAAAAAAAAAGTAAAAAAGAAGGAAAACTCATGCCAGTCTTTATTTCCACACTGACTCATTAGATGGCAGCATTACATCATTTATAAATAAACATATCGTATCGCTACTTGCTGACGTTAATTATATCGTAATCACTATCGCAACCGGGTATGCATTAATCGTAATTTTTTATGATATTTGTTTATTTTCCTTCCTGTCATGTGTGGTGTGCAACATGTAATGCTACGGGATTTTATTCTTTTACCTTACTGAGTAATTTATAATCTTCATTTAGAGTAACATTATTTCTTATTTAGTTAGCAACTGATTCCAGTTTCGTCTACCATGGCGGTAAACAACATATTACTTTTGTCTCAAGCTACTGGCTATGTCGTCGCACTTATGTTATCACTAAGTGTAATTATTCCTCTTGCGATGAATCTAGAATGTTTCAAAGGACATTGTTTATTATTTACCACTGGTAGTTTCGGCGATGATGGTAATTTCAATGCGGAATGGGCTTCCAAAGCATATTGCATTTACATCGCTTTCATCAGCTCTCTATTGGTCATGGTATCTACATTTCAAGCTATTCGTATGTTTGCGTTACTCAAAAAGGAACGGGACAGTTCCTTCCTGTCTGCTTTTTTGGAATGCATTATGACAGTCTGTATCTCTATTATGGTGTTTGCTGCATCTATAATGGTTACTCTCGGATTTAAAACTTGGTGTGATGCTGTGACTCAAAGATTCCGATCATGTGATGATGCTTCAATAATGGAAATCAGTAAAGCTGATAATGTTCAGACCAAAGGATTTTTTATACAAATCGGAACGGTTCAGTTTGGTGTGTGGAGCTCTTGGGTGTGTTGGGTGCTCTTGGCCGTGCTTTCGATGCTAAAGTTATGTCGATATCATGAACAGGAAGTTATAAGGGTGAGCATGGCACGTCAAAGACAGAAAATCATTAATCAATCTGATCAGGATTCTCTCCTTGAATGATGGATTTGCGACAATTTGGCTTTTTAGAGTTTCCGAAGGGTTTTTGTTAGAAGATCTATATGCTGTCAATTGGGAAGATTTCCGTATCAGTATCTATGCCAATAGTCACGTTTTAGCGTTTTTTCAGGACAATGGCTATTGAGTAACTTAAAAAAAATCATTGAAGGGTACCAGCTTCAAAGGTTATAGGTCTATAAGATGCCCCATTGTGATCTGTGGTACAATAATGATCAAGTCTTGGCAACTTCCAGTCTTGAGCCTCGAGAAACTAAAAAAAATAAAACATCACAAAAGGGGACCAACTCACTGTGTACGTCTCCTAGTCCCCACGAGCAAATCTTTTCCTGTTTTTTTTGTAATGTGCAGGTATAAAATCAATTTACTGCTTTGGCAATTGTAGTTGGTGCGACAGATCCAGATTTATAAATATTTCCTATGAACCAAAGTTGCTTGTATTTTTAAAAAAAATTTATTTTGTGAGATAAATATCCCTTTTGCGCCTTGGCGATCGTAGTTCATGAGAACAGGTACCAATACGGAAATATCTCCTGTAATTTCATTCTATTTATTTTATCAGTATCAGTTATTATGGTATTAATTATGCTGATAAGAGACTTCATTACTATTTATGTGCACTTTAGTTGTTTCTTGTTATCAGTACATGAGTATAAAAAATTAAGTTCCTTGACTTATAATCAAATTTTATATTGCTTGAGTTATAATCAAGTGTGTTTTAACAAAATGTTAAAATTTGTTAAAAATATAGTGGAGGATATAATTAAAAAATAAGGACAACTTATTAATTGTTATTAACAGTTAGAAAAAAAGTAAGAAAAAGAATATTAAAATGCATTTGTTTGGTATTTTTATTTAAAGTGTATCTACTTCACAAGTTATTTCTACTAATTCTTTCAAACCTCAATTTTTATTGCATTTTCTTAAATAGTTTAAATACTCAGTAGAGAAAATTCTAAATGCAAAAAAAAAAAAAAGAAAAATATTTGTATTTTATGTCAAATTAAATGGACTTGTTTTTTTTCTTCAAACTGAAAGTTATCAATATTGATCATAGTAATGAAAATATACTTGTACAAGAAGTGAATAAAATAGGTTCTCTGACATAAAGTATGTAGAAGACATTCTAAAAAATCACAATCATAAGGTCCTCAGTTTTTGAAGTTTGCAAGTTTTCTTTTAAATAAATTTGAGTACTTCATGAAGTATTCATTGAGTATTCATGAAGCTTTTTCATGAAGATTTATGTTCAAACTAGTAGCTCTTTTAAATAAAATGATCTATGATTTAAGTATTCTCAATTCTCATTCAATTATTTTAACTTAACTGGAATGTTTTTAAAATTGCTTTTGCTTCAAAAAGTTCTATGAAGAATGTAAAATTTTATAAACGTGCTGTTTAATATTAAATTTGAGGCATAGAGATTCTGAGATACTGAAACATTAACAATATACTGCTTATATTTTTTTGTAGTAATATTTCACGTATTTATGTATGTTTTTGTTTTGACTACATATTATTACTTCTTGATTACTTTTGTTATGACAATTTTTGTTATCATTAGCTATCTAAATGTGAGAAATATTAATTTTTTTGTTGTCATCACAAGACAATGTTTTTCTTAATGATAATTAAATTATTTTAATTTATCGTTATTTAATTAGATTTATAATTTGCTTTTAATTTGTATTATTATCTATGCAATTTCTAACTTCGTTGTTTAATTTAAAGCTTTTGTGATTTAGAAAGTTTTCTGTGTGAATGAACATTTTATAAATATCAGTCAGTTGCACATTATATACTTATAAAATTTTCACTTATATATGATTTATTAAGAAATGCAAGTATATTTTTAATTGAATGTAAATATGATCTTCAATTTAAATCATAAAGATTTTTAAGAAATTGTTAGATGTGTATCAACCTGTCAACTTAAGGGAGCACAACCTTTCTGAGGGAAGGGCTATTTGCACGGCCGGTTGACTAACATAGAACCTCTCACATGTTTTGTCATGTTGGCGGCAATATGAGAATTTTTATATAAATATTTGTGCTCAAAGCACTTATTTTTTTTGCCAGTAAACACATAGTAACATATTCAGTGAAAATTTTTCAGTTATTAGAATTCATTCAAAAAATGAAAAAACTGATACTTTAAAAAAAAAAACTTATTTTCTTTATGTATATATATTAAAGAAAAGAAATATAAAGTATAAATTCTAACAACAAAAAAAACTGATGTTTACAGAATGAAAGAGTAAAAAAAAATCTTCGGACTTTTTAAACCATAAGGGAATAAATACATTGCAATAACTGCCGATAAAATAATTGAAAAATAACGAGGATTTGTAATGAAATCAACAAAATAAGAAAAGCTTGTCAAAAAGTGATTACTAAATGGATGATTTGAAACTATCTGTCATAATATCATACTAAAAATACAGTATTTTCAAAATCGTCGAAAAGCAAAGCAATAATTGCCGTTAAAAAATCATTTTGATTTATTATAAAATCGTCACAAATGAAGGATGTCAAAAAGTGATAATGAGTGTTTAGGGATTTTAAAAGCCATGTGGAAGTCCGTATGTATATATTTGTCAAAAAAAGACTATTTAAAAATGGTTAGTATTATGATAATTAATATGAAGTGGATTTATGATGAAAAATTTATTGAAGTCAGAAATTGATTACTTATTCAAAATTTGGGTATCAAAATATTGGGATTTTAAAAATCATGTTTCGTTACAAAAACTGTTGAAAAAGTAATCGCAACAACATGACTCAAATGTGCAATTCAAAATTTTTCCTATTTTTTATTTTTCAAAATTTTTTTTCTTCTTCATTGTGTTCAGAAACACCCACGGACCGAACATCAATAGTCGATAGGTCGCAGGTTGTGCACCCTTAACTGAAACTGATTAATATTTGTACTCACTATTTTATGAATTATTCAACATTTTTTTCGAAAACTAGAACTGAACAATTTTAAATAAAATGCATTTATAGAATATGTTAAAAATGTACTGCAAATTATTTCAACTAATTTTTAAAATATGACTCACTTTATCTAATTCATGCTTTTATGAATTGAGGGAATTATGAATAATGTTAATCTTTGTTGTTGTGTGTGGAATTGTCCATCTTGATACTTTAAAATTATCATTTTTGTATTTGTTATCTTTTGTGAACCACATTCTCTTATGATCAGTTTTATAATAATAATTAATGACAATGAGTAATGAAAATTTTAATTAATAATTAAAAAGCATTAAAAAAAGAGTTTTAAATTTTTGAAAAAAAGTTTGTTATTTTTTCCAGAAATTTTTCCAAGCTGTTCAAAGCAGCAAACATAGAAACTTCTGTCGTGTTTTAAACATTTCAAAACATCAAATTGATTTATTTATGTTAATTATCCTTTTAAAAGTATTTATTGATGGAATTTGGTGTTTAGAAGACAAAATGTTTCAAATATGTATGGATATAAAAAAAATCTCTCTATTACGAAATTACTTAACATTGGATCCAGCATTGCCCCAGATTTTAAAATTCTCTGAAACTATTAAAAATTGGGTCTATAGAAGTTCGATAAGTTAACTACCCTCTATTTCATAAGTATAAGCAATTTTCTAAATTTTTTTGTTACTGTATTAATTCTTATGAACAGTCTTCTTACTTTAATATTTACAAAATCTTATGACATTAGCCTTAAGATTATAATGTGCCTGTTACATTTGTGATGCTGTTACCAAAATATTTTCTGTTTTTTTGTCACTTATTTGAACTTCATTGTTGGATTACTGTAAAATTTTATGCATCTTTATTTGATAATAAATTAGTTTATCACCTTCATCACTGTTTCCTTCTTTTTTTCTGCTTGAAAATTAAATTATAATTGGCATAGTTATTTATATTAATTTTTAAAAGCAATTTTTTAAAAAAGTTTTAATTTCTGGTATCAAATTCATCTGTTTATGTAAAAGGAAAAATTTATTTTAACTTTTTTTAATTTTTTTTATCTAATAAGAAATTTTTTATTTATATTATAAGCCACTTTTTTATTAGCTTGCAATCTTTTATTGTTGGAGTTAAAAAAAATTATCATGAGCATTTTTACCATTATTTACAAGAAAGTGTTTTTTAACTATATTTTAATTTACAACTAAAAATAATTATTTGATAGTGTGACAAAAGGAAATTATATCATGATTTCATTCAAATCCACATGACAGAATTCATGTAAATATTTATAATTGTCCAATTCTTGAAAATATTGTTTAATAAATGTTTAAAACTATTTTTATAAGCAATTTCATGATAAATATAAGTAACATGCATTGATTATAAAGTTTAATAATAAATGCTTAAAAATATTTTTATAAGCAAATTCTTGGTAAATATAAATAACATGCATTGATTATAAAGTTTAATTATAATTGTATCTATTGTTTTCTTTTTAGTAAAACTAACACTGAAGATTTTTTTACCTTTATTTTAAAGGAATTAGAATTGGTTGATAGCAGTTGCTAATTACAATTTAGAGTAAAATCTTAATAAGAAAAATCTGTAAATAATGTTCTATTTAAGTCATGCTCATTCAGTGAATTTATCTCAGCTTTCAGAATATTTAATTTTCAAAGCTCTCTGTTTCATTAAACATTTCAAGGGGAGTGGGATAAAACATGTCCCCACTTTTGACAATAATATAAACCATTAAAATTGTGATAGTTATGTTTTTCTTAAACAATGATGCTTAATAAACCACTTCTTGTTTAAAAAATTTTAATAAAGATAACTTCAAACTTAGAAATCACTTTATTGGTGATATACATATGATGATCGCAATTCTCTTGGCTTTTTTTGATTAAATTTTCTGCCCCTCTAAGGGTTAAATAATAAAATGTAAGGCATTCTTAATATTATTCTTCTGTAGTTTTGAGTACAAGCTAAACATATGTGCTTTAATTTTATCTTTCACTTGCAATAAACAACGGTTGAGTTTTCAGTTTGGATTAAAATCTTAAAAGATGCTTGTTACATTATTGATGCACAATATTGTCATTTGATATTAGAAGATTAAAGTAGGCTCTGTTTCATAACTGTTCTATGAATTGCAATTCGTAAAGAAAAGAAGAAAAAAAATGTTTAACCAGTGCTTAACTGCCATAATTAAAACTACCAGATAAACCTGATAAATTTCATTTAAATAAAATGTTACATATTTTTACATATTCATTTAAAATGCCTAAAATTTCAGATATTTATTTGCTTACGATTTTAGTTGGCAATTTATTTTATATTAAAAGATAACCTATTATGAATATTTTCTTACAGTATGTTTTTAATAATTTTTTCTTTTGAATTAATTATTGATTTTTAATTTAGTTGGCCACTCTTTGCTTTATGAGACTGGTGTATCCTATAAGTACAGTTATCAATTCACAATCCTACTGAATGAAGATGCGAACATTACAAGTCGAACTCAGTCTCTTGGTAGAAATGTGGGTTATCGAGTTTCTTCAGAGTTTATTCTTTCACCTATTTGGCAAAGCCCAGAAAATCCAAAGGAAAAGCTTTTAAAATTAGAGGTTTGTAAATGATTTAGTAAAATTGTAAACGAAAAATTTTGTAGAAAAATGATTTATTAAAATTTCTATTGTTGCTTCAAATTGTAAGAATAGAAAAATAATATTGAAGGATTTTTTTATTTATGATTTTTTTATAGAAAACTGAATTATCTGAATGTATAATTTTTAATAAATTAATTGCTAATTAATATATCACTAATATATATAGCACAATACATATATATGTAAATACAAAAATGATAAAAAGAGAAAAATGAAAATTAATAAGTCTTATTTTAATAAATATTTTATATCTTAATGTGTTCTATTTTGTTTCATAAATTTTTTTGAGTGCTCTTCACACTATTGTATTGATATAATTTTGCTTTGGCTATATTTGATACAATATTAGAAAGCACTCCTTTTTTCGGATATAATCGTGTCAGCTGATAAAGAGATTATACATATTTTTTCCCGGATTTTTATTGAAATTTTTTCTTTAAATTATGTTATTTTATTTTAATAATTTTCTTCTTTTCTTTTCATTATTCTGTAATTTTTTCCATAGTATTCCGTATATGTAATTTTGATTTCTGTTATTTCAACTATCAAACTTGTAAGACCAATACTAAGTTTATTATCCCTATAAAAATTTTTTTAACACATTAGTGAAATTTTGTATAGTATTTATTCTTAAATTCGTTATCTCTATTTATATGAGGCTAAATTATCGCTACATTTAATTTTTCTAATATTAATTGACTTTCGCTATATATTAAATATTTTTTATTATTTTACTGGATAAAATTCCTACAATATAATTTTATACAATGCAATTAGAAAAATTTTGTACAATGTTTGTCCTTCCTGAAACCTTAACAAGAAACATGTTTTCTCTTCACAATGTGATTGTGCCCAGAAATAGCGCAATTTCTTTAAACTATTTAATGCTCTACCATGAGTTAGGGTTGAACAATGAGTAATTGGCAGAGAGTTTTAACTGTTTTGATTTCTCTGTAAATATTTGCCTTAACTTTCGATGATAAGAATACAAAGCTTGGAAAGAGATTAAACCAGTTCTGTTACACCTTATTTACAAAAGGACTGAAAAAAAGGCACCATAAAGCAATCTTCTGATGCCAAAAGCCTAAAAAAAGGCTTGTCAACTTAACACCATTCCTGACATTAAGAACCTTAGTTTGCAGGATTGGATAAAAATAACCATGTGATGAAAACAACCAATCACCACGCGTCTGAATTGCAGCCTAACTTGAAGTTGTCTTTGCCTGGTAATGCTTGCCTGATGACAGGCTAGGAGAAACGGAGATGAAAAATCAGGTTTTCAGTTGACTTGCTACCTCATGTGCTTGATGTCAGACCTCTTGTAAATTTTGAGTTCTTATTGTTTCTTTGGATAAAAGGGACAAGCATTTTTCAAAATTGGTATTTATTTAGAATTGGAAAAAAAATTGCTGTAACTTATTACCTTTTTGCTCTAAGCTTGGTTAACAGTTAAATTTGCTACATCTCAAAAGGAAAAGATGAGTAGTTAGCCATTGTGACCTCCTAACACATTTTTTTAAAGTTATTATTATTTTTATTTGTATTTTGCTGTGATACATTTAATCTTACCTTTATTTAATCATACCTTTTTTTGTTGTCAATAACAAATAATTTATGTTTTAACATTTACATTCTAGTTATTGAAACCTACTTTGCACGTATCTTCAACCATGCATTCAAATGATGGTATCAATAGACATTGGTCTAAATTGGACAATTTATCCTATCCACCGATTTACATTCATTGGAATGATGGAATAGTGAAAAAGGTTTATGTATTGCCAGATTCTCCGTCAATGATAAATATTAAAAAGGGCCTAGCAAGTTTGTTTCAGATAAAAGTATCAAATACTCCAGTGAAAGAGGTTGGTTCTATTTTTTTAATTTGCTAATTCCCTAATCAATTGACAGAATTTTAAGTAAAATATTATTATTTTATCTAACATCTTTATTTTTATTTTTGCATACTACTTAATCATTCCTTTTGAATTTAAATCTTTTACAAAATATTAAAAAAAACTTACTAATTCAAATGAAACGTTAAACATAAAATTCTCCGAAAATTATGTGTTTTGTTATACAGTTTTTGTGTAATTTTTTTTAAAAAAATATGTCACAGTAAAATAAAACTTGTAGATTCTTTACAAAAAGATCAAGTTTTGTTTTCAAAATGTTTAGTTGTGTTGTTGTTTCTATCTATCTTTCTTGGTTGTTTCTCTCTATGGCTAAGAATACAACTTCAGCCACACCCATGTCACAGCCCTGTTAAGAAGGTGGGCTCATTCATACTTCATTTTATTCATCTACAAAATCTAATTGTGACTTGAACCAGAAAACGATCAATCTCCGATTCAGTAACCCTAGAAATATAGATTTTTAAAGAGAATTCGAAGGACTTTGTGACCCAACAGATTTAACATATACCAATCACCATTTACTACACTGGGAGTCTTTGGCCATGAAACCATGACCAGCTGAAACTATGACCTCTTGAACTTAAGCTCGGCGATCTACCAACCAGATTATCCCGGCCCGAAAGCCAGGGATAACCTCCACAGCCAGGAGGATCAGCTTTCAGTTATACAAAATCCGATATATATATAACTACTCTGTATTGAAACAGTGAGTCGCGCACTTTAAATCTCTCGGGGTCACAAAGTCCTCCAAGCTCCCATAACAAATCAATATCTCTTAGGGTACTGATTTGGAGTCTCAGGTTCAGGTCAAAATTATGATCTGTGGATGAATGAATGGGGTTGATTGGGTCCTCCCTGTAAAATGGGCTGTGATATGTGTATGGCTGAAATCCTATTCCTGGCTATAGATGGCGCCACTGAAAAGACATGAAACACAGCCTCTGTCGTAAAAATTTGCTTGTTTTCAAACTGACTTACTGATTAGCAAGTAGCATTAGTAATAACACTAACAACTCGTTTTTCAAATACTTTAGTTGACATTTTTGAGTATATACGCTAAAAGCTGTTACAAATAATTTTTTTAATGTATGGATAATTAGGAAGTTTTATAGTATAAATGCATTTTTTAATGAAGCATTCTTTGAATCTTCCTAATTTTTGAAAAAAAATATTAAGCTTTTTATACTTATATCAGTTAAATGATCTTCTCTATACCTAAATATTGGCTATTTTTTAACTCGAAGTAAAAGTTCATTCTATGAAATTTCTTACATTTGTATTTATCAAATTATGTACTTTATAATCAATACTATACTGTTTACTTAAATATTGCATATTTTCAGCTAGATGTATCAGGTACTTGTGTTGTTCATTATAAAGTGCATGGTTCAACCATTAAGAAAAACAAATCCAACTGTGAACGTATAAATTTTCCTCTCAAGAATACTGTAGTCAATAATGAGGTAAGTTTCTCAAAAATTATGTAAAATTTCTTTGCTTGTGGGTTTTGCAATTTCACACAAGTACTTCTTGAGCATTGATTTTAATAATAAAATTGGAACATTTTCATCTCTAGATCGGTGTTTCTCAACCTGATTGAATCAAGGGACCAGTAGAATATTTCAGTGTTTTATTGCAAACCCATATGAAATTAGTAATCTGGACTGTATTATCATAATATTAAAGGTTTTGGCACTTAGAAGGTTTTTTGACCCGTTTGTCTCCGATCATTCACATACTGTCTACAATAAAACATATTCCGGGTCAAAATCTATTTAAATAGAAATAAAATTTATATTGATTCTCTTACAAATATTTATCTGTAGACCAGCAGTTGAGAAACAATGCCCTAGATAATAACATGCACACACCTGTTCAATTTTTCAAATGTTTATATTTATTTGTTAGTTTTTTTATTATATTCTTTGTGTGCATTTTTTAATACCAGTAATTATTAGTATTATAAGTATTATACTTAATAAAGTAGTTATACCAGTAATTATTAATATTAATGAATTGAAAAAGCCTTGGCCTGCAATAGGCTGTAGTGCCGGCGAAGAAGAATTAATGAATATTTATTAGAACTTCTTAAAATAACATACTCAGAAAAACAAAGCTGTGTCTTTCAGGAGAAACAAGCCACTTTTCATCAGGTATACTTTCATCGAGTAGATATATTTCAATAATTGAATTATCTTTACTAGCTTGGGATACGTTTGTATAGCAGTTTACTAATCTGCTGGCCCGGTGGCCGAGTGGTTAGCATGCCTGATTGAGAAGCCAGATTGCTGCAGGTTTGAATCCTGCTCAGAGCATCTCTCTGTATGTTGTCCACTGTTGTGTGATGTGTGAATGTGACCTATCCTATTTATTGGTATCTGTGGCAGTGTGGCATATAGTAATGTTGCTCCCCTCCGTAACTTTGGTCACAAGATGCTCACCATGGAACGCAAAATGACCAACTCTTCTGGCACCTTCCGTGGCAAAGAATGATAAGTTCGGTGCCTGCTGTTAAGAAAAAGAAAGAAAACAATTTACTAATCATGAATATTTCATGAACAATTTATGTGTGTTTCAAAGTTTTCTTCAATTAGTTTAGTATGAGCTGCGATGACTCAGGGGATAGAGCGTTCGACTTCCAATGAAGTGAACCAGGCTTCGATCCCGGCGATGGCTGGTCGATACGAATTCCCCAACTGGCTTGCACCGACCACAGTTCTGACATGTAATATCCTTAGTGGTAGATGGATCATGAGTTAGAGTCCCCTTGTCGTCAGGCTAACCGTGGAAGGTTCTTGTGGTCTTCCTGTTCATGTAACGCAAATGCGGGTTAGTTCCATCAAAAAGTCCTCCACAAAGGCAAATTTCTCCCAATACTCAATCCAGGAGTTCCTTTGTCTTCTAGATTGGGTGCAAAATTAAAAGGCTACGGAGTTGAACATTAGTAGTGTTGAACCCAAAAATTGGGTCAGCTATTCAATGACGGTTATGAAATAAAATAAAAATAGTTTATTATTTTTCTTCTATTTAATTCCATAATTACTTGAAGAAACAAATAACAGGGATGAGATTTTTCCGCTTTTTAGCGGATTTCCGCTTTTTTCACTTTTATCTCTTAAATTTCAGCTTTTTTATCAAAAATTCAGATTTTCTAAAAATTTCATTTTTTTTTATAAGTGTTCCGCTTTTTAAGAAAATTCACCGATTTTCGAAGAGAAACAGAAAATTCAAACTACATAGCTACTAATCCTTTCTCATTTTTACTTATTTTACCTATTTTCTCCCCTTTTACACGCAGCAGATAAGATTTTCGGAATTTTTTACCCGCCCTCCAGATTGATCCGATTTTCATAGCTGCTTCTGACAAGCCTTTTAGAGGTCCCAAGCCTGGAATCTGCTAATATCTCGATTCTTATTCACACGATTTTAATATCAAACATAGCTTTTCATATTTGCGTGTTGNTAACCGTGGCAGGTTTTCGTGTTTCCCTCTCCATTTAACGCAAATGCGGGTTAGCTCCCTCAAAAAGTCCTCTCCACGAGGGCAAATGTCTCCCAATATTTAAACCAGGAGTTCCCTTGTCTTCTAGATTGGGTGCAAAATTAAAAGGCTACGGAGTTGAACATTAGTAGTCGTGAACCCAAAAATTGGGTCAGCTATTCAATGACGGTTATGAAATAAAATAAAAATAGTTTATTATTTTTCTTCTATTTAATTCCATAATTACTTGAAGAAACAAATAAACCTTATTTTAATTTAGTTACTTGTTTTTTGTAATTTATAGTAATTGTTGTTTTGCATTTCAAAGTAAGTGTTGCAATTTTTTTCACGATGCACAATTTTCACACAGAATATTGAAGAGTTTTCAGCATATGTGTTTGCTGTGTAATTATATTTTGTGTTGACTGATTTATTAACGCAGTTTTATATTAACTTTGTTGTATTTTGTAGCTGTTGTCTCCTTCCATAAGTGACTCCTCTGAAATGATTATAAATTTAATCCCACAACAAAGTATAATCGATTCTATAACTGGAAAGGAAGAAGTTATGATGACTTTGAACTTATGGAAACAGGCGGCTGTTTTTGTAAAAAATAAGTAAGGTGCATGTTTTCTTAAACAATTTTTTCGTATTCAATATCTTTTTCTTGTTTTGCATTTATACTCTTTATCGTTGTACATTTTAATTTATTTCATAATGAATAAACAAATAGGAAAAATAATAAACAATAAAATTAATTTTAAAATATATGTGTTTTGGGACCTTTTGTTTATTTGTTTAAAAAAATTGTTATTTCCTCTTTGAGATCCACCAACATTTTTGATTGTTGTTTTAAGTTTAGATATAATCTAATAAAGTCTTATGTTCAAAAAAAGTTTTTATGATTAAAATAAACTTTTTTTGAAAAGAGCTGAAATACAAATACTTATGAAAAGTTCATCTAATTTGGATACAGCTGGTAACAAGTAAAAGTGGAGTTGCATTTACTCAACAATATTCTGAAACAATCATACTTTTATTAAATTATTTCTAACTATATATGTTTTGGACAAAAGTCAATTGACTTATTTCATATTTTTTATTTTACAGTTTTATATTGTTTGTTTAACTATTTATAGAATATTTTGTCACTTAATTTTTTTAAGCATTGCTCTTGGCTTTTCGGATTTTTTTTTGGGAGGGGGATTAAAAAATGGGCTAGGAAAAGGTACTTTTAGCTGAAATCAGTCAAAATTGTTATTGAATAGTAATACCCAAGGTTCCCACAGGTTTTAAAAATTTTTATTGGCAATGATTTTAAATTAATGCTAGCATAATTTTTTTTATATGACCAATTATTTTGAGAAATGTAAAACAAAGTGATTTGGTTAAAGATATCTATCTCATGAAAAAATAGCTATTGATTTTCACAAATATATTTAAAAAAAAATCAGTGTTTAATTAATTTTTACTGCCACTTTTGAAAATGTTCAAGACTCGTGTCAAACCTGAATACCATTACTACTTAGTTTAGAAAATTATATATTGTTTGAATTGATAACTCAATCAATTATGCTCATTTGTTTATTTGAGCAGGCTCTCTACTTATCTCTACTTTAAATCATGAAAATCCTTTTTTAATTAATGAATAATAATAATAAAGGATTGAATTAGTATCCTACATTTTTATGTAAATATCTCAGTTAAGTAAATACCTATTGAGCTAAATGCATTCTCGATCACTACTAAATTATAAAATACTAATTAGAAGCGACATTTTTCCTACAGTCAAAGTTTATGAAATGTAATTATTTTTGTATTATTACCGTCGTAGGCGATTTGAAACTGCATGAATTTTTACTTTTTTAGATTTCATGTGAAGTATGTTTCACAGTCTCAAGGCAGTCCTGTTTTAAGCGGCAAAAATGTTGCTGCTATTTTAAATACAATATCCCAAGGTATGTTCTTTGTTGTTCAAATAAAAACACAGTTTATCCCCTAAATGTTGGGAGAAACTTAAAGGAGAGGTAGGGCACACCAAGAGAATTGTGGATGTCATAGCAACCCATCTCCTTAAATGTCGCTGTAGACTGCTAGGGCTGCATCTTTATTGTGAATTTTCTGTTTCTGCATCTTTGAACTGGTACTTTTATTTATCTAAATTATCTGAATTTTAAGTTTCCTGATAATTATTTGTATTAAAATTTTTTTTATATAACCGTCGTTGAACAGCCGACCCTATTTTATGGCTTTACGACCCAATCCAGAAAACAAGAGAACTCCTGGATTGAGTATTGGGAGAAATTTGCCTTCATGGAGAAATTTTTGATGGAGCTAATCCGCATTACTTTACGTGGAGAGGAAGACCACGAGAAACTCCCTCGGTTAGCCTGACGGCAAGGGGACTCTAACTCATGATCCGTCTAACACTGAGGATATTTCACGTCAGCACTGCGGTCATTGCGAGCCGGGTACGGAATTCGCTCGGATTCGAATTCCACCCATCACTGGGATTCGAAAGCGGTTCACTTTATTCGGAGGCAAGCTCTTAGCCCCTTGAGCCAAGTCGGATGCGGAATTCGTATAGATTGGGATTCGAACCCGGTTTGCTGTATTGGAAGGCAAACACCCTATCCCCTGAGCCATCACGGCTCCCCAATAATTATTGTTGAAAATTGCATTCGAATAGGCCCTAGTAATAGTAACTGTTTTATCATAATTTAACTTTTTAAACATGCTTGTTAAATTAAATGCCAATTACGATAAAAATGTCTTCTAAGCCTATTTGAATGCATTTTGCAATTATTGCAATCGTTGTTAAAAATTGCATTCAAATAGGCTATAGTTATAGTAACTGTTTTATCATAATTTAACGTTTTAACATGTTAAATGCTAATAACGTTTATGGTCTTGGGATTGCTATGCATTTCTCCATCCTTTTGATATGCCCTACCTCTCTTTAAAGTTTGTTCCAATATTTATGGGACACCCTCTATGGTAAAAATATTTTTATGAAATTTTTATCATAAGATGTGGAAAACTTAACGTAAATTTACTTTTGTTTTGCATAGAAATGGGATCAAAATTGAAATCAGAACCTCTTGAAGTTACTACTGAAGCAGCACCTTGTCTTTCTAAATGCAAATCTGTAAGTATCCACTGATACCGACTTCTTCTGCTTTCAAATATTCAAACATAATAGATGCTGTGTTCCAGCTGTTTCTTATTTTTTTGGGCTGTGATATCCTAAAGGATCGACCTTCCTTTGGATGTAATAAATAAATTTCTTTGGTAATTATGAAGATGTAAAGTAACGATAGATTTTAATTGTTTTGAAAATATTCAGTGAATGAATGAAGAATGAAATTTTTTTATCATATCATTTTTCAACATTAGGCTTAAAATTGGGTTTTAGGTCAGATAATTGAATTCACAGGTCTAGAGTAGTATCTAGTGTAGTTCTTAATTTGATTTTAATGTATGCATCAACTGAAAAGGAATGAGCTGAAATATTTTTTCCTTTGAAATCAAAATGGAAAAGGAAGAAAATTAATTTCATAATGGTTATGAGAGAAACATACAACTTCATTGATAAGTTTGGTTATTTTTATTCAATGCAAAACACACATGGAGTTTTTCATGAATGCATATCCTTTTCATATCTCATTCATTATATTGTTATTAGAAAAATAATTTTTGAAATCTCTTTCTTCACAAGCATTCCACTTAAATTATATTTAAAAAAAAATAACGACTATGTTAAATAAATAATGGATTATTAATTTGATATAAATTTAATAACTAGTTAAAAGAACTCTCAGAACCCTTGTTACCCTTCCACAGAACTTTAGGTCTTAAAGCCATTTATTCCTAGCTATTGAAATAAAACCTGGATGTGAAATATTTTAGTTTATACATATCATAATTCTTTTGTCTATGGCAAGAGAATTATTTTAAAAGGAAAAAAAATGATTATCTATATTTTTTAAGAATTTTTAAAAATTTTATGTTATTGTAACTTAAAAATTTAATTTTCAAATTTTTGTCTCTGCTCTTTCAAAATAAGAAATAAAGATCTCTTCAATTCAAATGTTCACTTTTTGTTCTGAATTACAAAATAATAAGGAATATAAAATTAAAGATTTTTTTTAGTTTCTACATTTTTGTACTAAAGGATTCTTTATATTTTCTATAACATTTTCGTTTTTATAATTTAAATATATTTGTCATTTCTTCAAGATAATCTACATTTAATATTATTATTCTGCATTGCAGTTTTATAGGGTATTCAGATGTATTAGTTTTACTTAGTGGTGTTGAAATTTTGAGCATGCTATTTCAATTAAATCTTTACTTGCTACACTTTTTCTGCTGTCTGCCACTAAACTTGATAATTTTATATTGGCCTTACGCATAACCAATGTGTAATAAATGTTTTATATAATATATAATGCGAATTTAAAACTTCTTAATACTTTGTTCCCCAAACCAAAATGTCTTTTAACTATAATTGTGGCTGATATAATTATTGTGATTGACTTTTAGGTAAATAAGTAGCATTTTAGTAAGTTTGTTGAAATTATATTTTAGGTTCGTGAATTGGTGGGAGAATATGGAACCAATTTACTTCCTGAATATATTGGGGAATTAAAGTCTGCAACTGGATTTCTGAAATTTTTAGATAGCTTTAGAAAAGCTTCAAAAAAGGAACTTTTGATGCTTTTTAAAGATACTGATGCCAGAATATTGTAAGAATTGCATGAAATTTTGTGTTACTTCTATGTTTTTAATTGAGGAGTAATCATTTAGGTATTCTTAATTAATTACGGAAACAGCATTGTTGTTTTAAGTATTAAGGCCTTTTTGAATAATAGAGAAACTTCATTTCTTTAAATCTTAAAACAAAGAGTCTTAAAATTTAATGAATGTACTCATCTTGTTTGATCATGATGCCCTTTTCTTTGGCAGTCTAAATAAACTGGAGGTGAGCTATTTTTTTTTAAAATTAGGTACAGGGATTCCGTTAAAACTCTATTGCAAATCAAATATGCCGAAAATTAAAGGAGAGTTATGAAAAAGTTGCAACGCATCCATGGATAATACATACCTGCCAACTTTTAATCCCTTCCATTATCATTTTCCCCAGTGGTATTAAAATCGAATTAAAATTTCAATTTCAAGCAAAAAATCACGTTGTATTTGCAAACACTTAAGCTGACAACCGTGATAGTAACACATATTAATATATGTGCTTAATCTTTTTAGGAAAAGTGGTGATCAAAATCATTTAGAAATTAAGTTTATAAGAGAAAAAATAGTTTATATTTACAACCACTTTAAATATGAAAATAAAATTTTACGCCAAATGCGTAAAAGTTGGCAGGTATGATAATAAATTCTGATGATGCTGGGGGAAAAAATAGTGCAACTGCAGATTTATGGTAAAATTAAATTTAGAATAAAATTAATATTTTCTTCTTCATTAATAGCAGAAGAGGCAAATGAAAATAATTTTGAGTTGAATTGATATAAAAATTTTAGTTTTAATTTTTTTTATGGAATTATTACTGAATAAATTCCTAATCACACTTCTTTTTCCTAGTCATAAAATATTTATTTTTTCTATATATCTCTAAAGTCGAGATTAATATAATTAAAAATAGAGTAAAAAAGTACTTCTAGTAAAAAAGGACCTACCCCAGGTAAAAATGTAGTCCTGGGTCCTAAGGATCCCTAATTTCCAAAATCTACCGAAGTAACAGAGATAGTAGAAGTAAGGAGACACATGAAAGTAAAGCTAACTTCCTTTTTTCATATGGGAGTTTTTCCATAAATAAAATAAAGCTTTTAATATGTCTTATGAATAATTATAAAGTTTTATTAGGCATATCTTAAAGATCATTAAAAATTATAAAATTCAATCATTAGTTTAAATGTTAATGTAATTTTAAAAAAATATATTTTTTCACTTTGCTGACTTTTGTCAAGTGAGAATGAATTTGTTGTCTTATTAAAATACTATAATTAAATGAATATCATATCTGTTGCAATTAAAATACCTTATGATTTATGATATTTGAAGTTGTTCAAGGTTTTATCCTATTGTATATTTATTTATTGCCCGTATGTTACCATCTATGTATTAAATCTGACTTTCCAAAGAATGCCAAGTATGAAAGGATTAATACTTCTCCTATTGCCTGTGTATTCTATCGAATAATTAATAGCAAACTGGCAAAGTATAAAATTATTAGCATTTCACACATTGCCAAAGCCTTCTTTGGTAATTTTTAACAATTAACATATTCACATGTATTGCACGTATTTCTTTTTTTGTCTAAGGAGCATTCGTCATTTTATAAAGTGCCTAGGCATTCCAATGATTGGACATAGTATATAATAATTCTCATGTTTTATACTTTTTTTAAACATGCCAGATATTCTAGAGAATAGCGACAATTAACCAAACATACACATGACTTCTGTTACAATCTTTGGTAATACACGTGTTTATTATTACACTAACTATTCTTTTACTACCGAGTTACTCTAGAATTTTTAATTGTATTGCACGACACTTATAAATTTGTATAATTAGTTAATATTTTTATTTCATAATATTCTGTTTATATTATAAATTTCCAAAAAAAAAAAATTATATTCATAAATATATGTTGTATCATCTGACCTAAATATATGAAAAACTATTATTTGAAAAAAGGAAAAATCCAGTGAAGTAAATCAAAAGTTTCCTGGTCAGTAATCGATATGAAGAAGAAGAAAAAATTAGCGAAATGCTATAAGCAAAATTGGTGCAAATAAATAAACAGCATGAATCATCTAGTGGTTTTCGTTATTCGAATTCTATCACAGATAAAACTTCTGAAAGGGGAGCAATGTAGCGTAACTACCAGTACAAATATTAAATACCAAATAACTAGTATATAAGACGTTAATTTGATTCTGTCTTGAGGTACCTTTTGATAAATGAAGGTTGACATAGTCGATTTATAAATCCTCTCAGATTGATGGCAACACATATACAACTGACAATTATTAATGATTTAAGCTTAGGTAGCATAGCAAATTGTTTATCATTTGTGTGGAATTTTTTTTCTCTAATGTGTAAACATGTAACATTTTCTTTCTTTTTGAGGACCCAGTTGTTGGATGTGTTGGCTGCTGCTCAGACTGATGATTCCTTAGATGTGGCTTTTGAACTCATTGACTTTGAAAGTAAAGATATAGACATAGCAGAAAGATTCCTTTTGTGTCTCGCTGTAGTTCCAAATCCTACTGATGCACTGATATCTAAAACATTAGTAAATAAATACTTCTATAGATTCTTTATCCACTTAATTTATGTATTCCTATAATTTTTCTTAACTATGCAAATATTTACAAATGGTTCAGGATAAGTGATGACCTTTTTTGAAAGTTTAATGCGTGCATGATTTGATGCATTAACTCATACTCTAGCTTTTTAGTGAGTGGGATAATTTTCAAATTAAAATTTGGTTCACTTACCAATTTGGTAGAGCCAGAGATGCCAACTGCTCCGGACACGCCGAAATAGTTTTTAAAAAACGGTAAATAACTACCAACTAAATTTTGCAAATATTTGCCTATTTTTGCTTGCTTTTTAATAGATATAGCATGACATAACTGTCACATATACACTTAATGTAATGTGAAAACTTTATTTCTAATTTTACTTAAGCCTTTAATTTTTCTTTAAACGCTATTCCTTTTTTTTCCAATTTAGCAATCTTTTTTAACTTTCTTGTTGATCTTTCTCATGGTCATTGCGGTCATCGCACTTCCTGTGGGGAAAGTCAACCAACCCCTCTATTCACGCCTTTTAATTTTAGGGGGGCTAACTAACCAATCTCTTTCCTTTAAATTTCAAAATTCACGCCTTTCATTTTCTTCTTTTAATTTTAGGGGGGCTAACCAATCTCTGTCCTTTAAATTTCAAACTCTCCGCCTGTTTAAATTTAATTGGCCATAATTTTTCTGGTCCTATACCAGTTAAGGAATTTTTAAGACTTTTTAAAATAGATTCTTTTTTTCTCGAGCCTTCGGGCAGGTTACCCTTTTTTAAATTCTCCGCGATGCGGACTTCGGTCCGTATCGAGGGATTTCCTTTTACATTTTTTCTTAACCTTTATTTTAAATTAAATCCATAGCTGTAATTAATTTCTGTAAAATTTAAAATCAACATTTTATACTTTTAATTTTATTTAACATTAAAAGCCCTCTCAAATTTAAGTTTTCTTTTCATATTTGTTTTAACGGTTAAATGAATCGTTCTTTTATGTTTAACTTCATGCATGACGCCTTTGGTTTCTTTAAATTCTCTTGTCACCCATTTCCTTTTAAAAGATATATTTTTTCTGTGCCACAAAATGTGTTGCAATCATATTGTTTGTTTGTTACGAAAAGTAGTTTTACAAAAATAAATGTTTAGTTGAACAGAAAGTTTTGTGTGATTGTTTTTTTAGCTTTACCTTTATAGCTATTAGTTATCACCTTTTTTCCTTCTGTATGTGGTGAGTACCTTTTTTTATTGTTATGGGCATGCATAAATGTGAATTTATTAGTTTTTCTTATTGGAAACATCAGCTTACTGTTTGAATCATATATATTGTTTGGATATAGCATGACTTTATCGTATTTATCATTAATCTTTAATTTTCTTAGTTTTCACCCTTATTCTAAATTTGGTGATACCAATTTATCCAATTTGTTCAAACCTCACACTTTGTGACCCTTTGAACCTATTGGGTTATTGTTATCCCACATTAGCATTGTACTACCACTTTCCTTAACGATCACATTCCCCTTCAATTTAATTAATTTACCTTTTATACATTTCGGCCTTAATTATATTTATTATGACATTTCAATCATCTTACGTTTTTTAATCATGACTATATCCAATTACTAGTACATATACCAAATATTTCAATCTATTAATTATAATTCATAAATAACTTTACTTTATACGCACCAATTCTATATTTTAATTTAACTCTTACAATAACCTTGTTCATTGTAGTAGAACTGGGCGTCTGAGGCCTTACGGCCCTTTTCCCATTCATCTTGAAGTTAACTTAGAGACATACATGACAAAATTAAAGTTTGGGGAGCAAATGGAGTTCTTGAGAAAAGAAAAATAGCACTTTGCCATTATTAGGCAATGACAAAATTATAAGTAATAAAAATGTACATGAAAAAAGGTAAAATTAAAGTACAATGGGAAAATAAACACTAATGAATATTTACAGTTAGGAAATACATACAAAAGGGGGGCGAGTTAAAGGATTGTGAGGATGTGTGTATATGTGTAAGTAAATGTGACTCTGTTAAGTAGAGACCCGGCCGTCAGTGAGTGTTTGTGTTGTTAAATGTTAGTATGATATCAGAAGTGTAGAAGCGTGCAATGGGTCAAATTTTTAAAAAAAGCTTTCGTGGGTCAGTAGTTGGATATCATAACTGCTGACCCCCGAATGCTTGCATGACATAACCTCATAAAGTGGTGAATTATATAAGCCTACAAATTATTTAGAAATAGTGGTAGATAAAAACCTACTAAATTGAATTTATTAAACCATGAATCACAATTGATAAACTACCACTTTAAAATGTATATTTGTTGTCCGGAGCAAGTTGGCATCTCTGTAGAGCACTCTAATCTTTAAAATACTTCTGTGCTTGATGACATTGTAAGTTTCAATCATTTTATGGCTGCTACATGCAAGATTTATCCTTATTTCATAGCTAAATTTTCTATTTTATTAAATATTCATCATCCTCTAAAATCACTTGCCCTAACCACTTTTTGACTGACTAGTGTGCTGAGTACCTGCAGCTCTATTTTTGATGATAAAAAAAAGTTCCAACTATTTTCTGATAGCTACTGTCAGAATTTATTGTCATTTTATTGTGGTATACAATTTATTGTCAGTCAAATTCTGGCAATTTTCTATCTAAGTAGAGTGTTCATGGGAGCGTTTTGTATAATTAAAATGCAAGTTTCAATCATATTGTGACTGTTAAAAACAGAATTTGTTTTCAAGGAAAATTTATCATCAATTCAAATTTTGACTACTTCTATTTATCTTAAATTTTAACCCTAACTTTATGATGTGCGACAATTCAAGTTTCTATTGTTTCTTGAATGTGGTACAAGCAAAATTTTTTGCTTCTCAAAATTTAGAGCATTTTCTGTCATAAAAAAAATTGGCAGACACAAAACTAAAAAGAAAAAAGTAATTTTACTTCTACTAGAACTGCCTCAACCCAACTTTTTCAAAAGTGATGCAGTCTTTTTTTTTTTTTTTTTTTTTTTTTTCAATTTAAGTCAAAGCAAAAATTATTGAATGAAATTATTCTTTTTAGTCTACTTGAAAATTGTTTCTTAAAAATTTTATTTTACTGCATGGAATATTTTATGCCAAAAATAATAAATTAATTTTTTTACCACATAACCTTAATTAATATGCTGAAATCTTTAAAATGTGTCATTGTATTTTATGTTTTATTGCTCTGTTGTCTCTTAAGTCTTTTTTACTTTATTTATTTATTTATTTTAGAATGTGTCAGCAGTTTTTGCATGCTGATTTGTATATCTCATGCTGATATAAGACACTACTGATATAAGTCACTATTGATATAAGACTCTGCTGAAATTAGACATACTAAATCACTTTTTCAAAGGACAATCCGACATGATTTATCTTTTAAACTTCAAAATATGTTGTATATATTTCTATAAATTATTACCTTATATTGCTTTCCTCATTCACCTTGTTAAATAGCAACTCATTTACATTAATTACATAAGCGATAAAGAATAGTTACATAAGCAATGAAAACTATATCTATAGATGAGTCAGTATATCTTTTTTGCATTTCATGTTGAATTTTAAAAATGTTTTACTTACTACAAAAANAAAAAAAAAAAAAAAAAAAACTGTTAGAAGATAAAATTTCCATTTGGTTAATAAATACATAAATAGTTCTTAAATCTGCAAATTTTGAAATTGTTAAAATTCTGAATTTGTAACAAAAAGGTTAGATGTACCAATAAAAATAAATAATAATATCAGTTTTTTGATATTCATATTAATTATAACATTTTCATAGTGATATGATGGATGATTAATCTCTAAATTTTCACCATTTATTGAGTATTATGAAAAAAATATTTCCATAATATGTGTTTTTNTTGCTAAAATTCTGAATTTGTAACAAAAAGGTTAGATGTACCAATAAAAATAAATAATAATATCAGTTTTTTGATATTCATATAAATTATAACATTTTCATAGTGATATGATGGATGATTAATCTCTAAATTTTCACCATATATTGAGTATTATGAAAAAAATATTTTCCATAATATGTGTTTTTTTGTTGGTTTTTTTTGTTGACATAAACTTAAATTGTGAACTTTTGTGAATACTATTTAACTCTATGCCAATGCAGGTTGTTTAACAATGTCATACATGTTGCTACGCACATTAAGATGTAATACATACATAACATAATAACATGTCATACATGTTACTATATACATAAGGATGCTGATACATACATAATAACATGTTATGCATAAATTGCTTTAGTTTTGACTTTGATTTCTGTGTTATAAAAAACGTAAGCAATAATTTTTCTTCAAGTGATTTTTAATTAAAATATTTTTAGAATTTTCTCTATATGTACCATTAATTAAAAAATATTTGGTTGTATCTTGATATAACTTTGTATATTTAATTTTCAGAAACTTCTGAATAAAAATATTAAATCTGAAAAGTTGCGGTCCACAATTTTGGTTGCTCTATCATCTTTGATGCGAACATACTGTCGCAGTAAAACAGCTTGTTCTGATTCGCTGGTTTGTAGAACACAAATGTCTATAATTTCAGTAGTTTTAGTTTTGATTTTCTTATCTTTCCTTTTAGATAAAATGTTTCACTTATGTATATTTGTGGTTCACTTTTGATTTTAACTTCAAAAGTTTGATTTATTTCATCTTGTTTATTTATAGCAAGTACTACTATATTATTTAGGGTAATTTTACATTATTTTCAAGTTCAGTAATATTTGTGTTACAGATTTAAAGTATTTATAATTTCAATAATTTTTGTTTTTATTTACTAATTTTTTTATTATTAAAGAACTTTTAACACTCTAAATTTCTTTTGTTCATTTTAAATTCTTTTTAATTTTTAAAGTTTGTTTTATGTCATCATACTAATTTCCAACTATAGTTATTCTTATATAGACACTTTATTAATTTTAATAAAGTACGTTATTTAATTGTTTGAAAGTATTTTTTTTGTTGTAATGTATAAACAGAAGCAATTCTAAGACACAGATTTAAAAGTATTTTTTGTTTTTACAATAGTTATTAAATATTAAACATAATACAAAACTTTAGATTTGCTAGCAACTTTAAATAACCATGCATTTCTATATTATACACATTAGCATATTTTTACTTTTTTGATTTTCCATTTAATTATGTTATAATTTAAAAAAAATTTTAATTTTTGTTTTTAAAATTTAGTTTTTTTTGAAAAGCACTTTAATGGGCTTAACTAAAATGTATTCTATTTGTTTTGAAACATTTTATCATTAATTATAGTTACAATAATTAAAATTAATTGTTATAGTTTTATTATAGTTTCAGTGAATAACTTCTTTGTTTACACATTTTTTTAATAATATGCTTTATACAGATAGTCCAAACTATGAGTAATCTTTTCTTGAAAGAGCTTCAAGGTTGCCAAAGTGCTAGTTGCATTATGAGCTATCTGCTTGCTTTCCGAAATGCTGCATTACCTCAATATTTACCCGTGCTCTTAGAATTTGCCAAAAAGGGAGGAGTTCTAGGTTTGATGGCCCTTGAAGCTATGAAAGATATTGGGGTTCAACATTTTACACCTGAAGTAAGATTCTTTTTATTATTATTCTGTGTTCTTAAAAATAAGATATTAGGTGAGCATTTTATTCTTAACCCAGCTCAAAATGGCTATTTAAGAAAATGAAGGCAGCTTAAAATGTGTGTTTGAAATATGGGACAGCACAAAGTGTATGTTTANTTTATAGAATGCGCGAATTTCTCGCAGTAATAATTTTTTAATGCGAGAAAAGAAAAAAATATGCGAGATTCTCGCGTTCTCACGCTGTAGTGAAAACACTGCGGACACAGCTCAAAATGTGTCCTTAAGAGAATGAACACAGCTTAAAATGCTTGTTTAAAGAAACTCAAACAACTCAAAATATGTATTTAAGAAATGGACACAACACTGAAAATGTGTGTTTAAGAAAATGGACATAGCTCAAAATGCCTGTTTTAGAAAATGGACATAGAACAAAATGGACACAAAACAAAACGCATATTTTGAAAAATGGACATAGCATTTGATTCTAAGTTTCAAACTTTTTTTGTGAAAACTGTTTCTTTTCAAAGGAATAAATTAATTTATACAAATATGCTCGTTATGTGTTGCCTTTGATTTGCCGAAATCATTTAGTACATTTTTTTAATTAGTCTTTTTTAAAAAACTTTGGAAATCAGTATAGGGTTAGTTTTTACAAGGTTGTCATGGATCTTATAAATTTATAATAGCAGTATTAAGTTGACGTTGTGAAAATTTAGATTTTTAAAAGCCATTTTATCATTTATTATTCTGAATATGAAAATACATATCACCTGAAAAATTACATACACAGCCTGTCCAGCCTGAAGTCTAAGGCTTTGCCCATAAGGATTAACCTTAGTGTTTAAAAAAACTCAGGAAAAATAAATATGAAATTCTTTGTTAAATATTGAAAAAGTGCATTTTTTGCTAGGTCAATTTTCTCAAACGAGCATTTTGATGTGTGCCCATTTTTTAAAACTTGAATTTTTAGTTGTGCCCAAGATAGAAACCTCATATGATAGGCTGTATAGTTAATGCAAACTCTTCCAGTCTTAACCATTTCATTAATTTATTTAGATTACGTGAATGAATCTCTTTAATTTCTGACTTAAAATTAGATAAAATCAGATTTAATTGTCAGTTAAACTGGAAGGACATATTTGGTGTCATGCCTTGAGCATTCATAACATTCTTTTCTTCTACCAGACTATCTTCTTTTCGTTCAAGTGTTTGTTACAGCAATTGTTCCAAAATACTCCAATTCAAATTAAGATGTGCTGGCTTCAATGCTATTATCAGCAATATTAATTGGAAAATTATTATCACATAGAGTATTATTATCGAGCCAAATAATCAGTTATAATATTAAGATTGATCAAACCACTCTAAAAGTATTTATGAAAAAAAAACTTTGAAAGTTATTTAAAATTGCTACTTCAAAACACCAGACATGGAATTTCATAACTGTTATTTACTTATTTTTTAATTCAGATTTGAGTTTACTTATTCTAAGCAGTTTTTTTTCTATAGAGATGTTTTTAATTTTAAGTAATTCTATTTTTTGTGTTATTGTTGTGTTTATGTATTACATTGTTGATGATATCAAGAAGAATTTAACATAGAAATAACTTTTGCTCCTCTCTCTTCAGTGGTAAAATTTAACATGTTAAGTTTTTACAATTCTATCCTGTAGCATTTTGCTAGCACACATTTATCATTGAGCCAGGGCCATATACACAATACTCTCACATGCAAAAATGAAATTAATTCTCCACTTAGTTTATACTCATTTTGGAGAGCCATCTTAAAGCATGTGATTTTGAAACTTATATAATGAAAAATCACATGGATGGAACCTCATTTTGGTTGAAACTCAAATCTATCTGTACATTATTTCCCATGAATATACAATGGCATCTTGTCCCAAATATTATAATTTTTAAAACATTTCAAAACACTGTTGGTTAGAAAATACGAACATTCTATGCTGCTATGTATACTTGACAGTCGGCGCAAAAAGGTTAATGAGGATACAAGATATTAAACTCTGAAAAGATCCCTGTTTCTGTTGACTAGATTGTTTGTGCTGTCATTTTTTGTTTTACTTTGGTTAACAGTGTGCAGCAATGTTAATTAATATTGTGGCACAAAATGATTTTTTCTTTTGCAATGTTAATTAATATTGTAATTTAATATTATGGCACAAAAATAATTTTTTCTTTCTAACGCCTTTTATTGCTCTAATTAACTTTAATTAATTTTTATTATTTAATTAAACCTAATTTAATTTTAACTCTAATTTTGAATTTTATTGATATTAAAATTTGAAATTTTATGTCCGCTTCTGTTAAATACCTATATTGATACTTTCCATATTTAATAATTTACTGTATACTTTGATCTAAATAGAGTTTTTTTAAATTCTTTTAATATCTTTTTAATACAGTCCATAAATAGAATAGATTGAAAACAATAAAAAGAAGAACTAGGGATCTTAGTATTTGGATAAATTTAGTTCACAAGTTTCATTATAGATTTACCAACAATTATTCTATTTTCAATAAGTTTGCTAAACAAGTATTGCTTTTTAAGTTCTACAATGCAAGTAATTCTTGGTAAAAAGTTCACTATCTTAAATTATCCTATCTCAGTTTAAATATTTCACTAGTTGTGCTTAAAAACAGTTTATTCATCAAGTGAACTTGCTCTAATTATTCACAATGATAAATTTTAACAATGTTATTGTCTAACTAACAGTTTGATGCAATAACAATACTTGTTTGTGAAATATTATTGAAAATCTAAAATCAGAATTGTATAATTATCATTTTTATTGAATCTCATTTAATTCTCATATTTATAAAAATTAAAATTTATGTTTTAAGATTGATAAGCTATTGTTTTCAGATCCACGAAGCTCTTCTGAGGATTTACAACCAGTTTTGGCCTCATCAGGAGCCTGCCTCACGAATATTGGCTGCAGAACTTTTAATGAAAAGTAATCCAACTATACATACCATTGGTAACCTGGTGTTTTCTTTGGACAATAGGGAACAGCCAGAGATCAACTCCCTCCTTTTGTCAAAAATCAAAAACTTAGCTTTGGAAAATGAGGGCATCAGGTGAGGAAACAGTTTAAAATTAGTATTCATTGGTGCATGATTTAAATTCTAAAGCTCTCGAAATGATCTCGATTTTATGAAACATCTCGACTCTTTTGGAGCTCTTGAAGTGTCAAATATTATCAAAAGCACTCTTGGCATTTTCTTAATGATTTACAACTTTTGCTCATAAACTGCCTGACATTAAACATAGTTTTTAAACTTTGATTAAACAATGAAAAAATTTGACTCTTCTCATTAAATATTTTCTAATTAATTAATAATTTTTGGTTTGTACAGTTAAATCTTTTTAGTATGGCTCTCATTACTGCATCCCTTCCATCATTGCTACCAATACATAAAGTCCCATTTGCTATTCCATACATGCAATGTTATTTTAGGGCTCATTAGAACTATGTGAATCATTCCAATATAGTGACCAAAAATTTGTTTATATTTTTTATTCAAGAAAAAAAATTTAGAAAAAAATAAAGAAGGAAATCACTCTCCAATCAAGTGTTAAGCATTTTTGCACTTTCAAAGCAAACATTTTTCCATTGTTGATTGATCAATGGATAGCAAAAGTTTTAAATTCAAACTATTATTTCTTTTGATGTTATTGCTCAATAAGCATGAAATACCATGAATTCTCTGTGAATAGAAAAAGAGTGACAGGACTAGGACTATCTGTTCACATTCTTATTTATTCATAGGCTAAGGTCTAAACTAAAANATTCCAAAAAAAAAAAAAAAAAGTAAAGAAGGAAATCACTTCCCAAGCAGGTGTTAAGCATTTTTGCACTTTCAAAGCAAACATTTTTCCATTGTTGATTGATGAATGGGTAGCAAAAGTTTTAAATTCAAACTATTATTTCTTTTGATGTTATTGCTCAATAAGCATGAAATACCATGAATTCTCTGTGAATAGAAAAAGAGTGACTGGACTAGGACTATCTGTTCACATTCTTATTTATTCATAGGCTAAGGTCTAAACTAAAAGATCGTGAAATATCAAATACTTTTCATTATTAAGAATTAAAAATTCTTATTGCTTCCTTACATGGAAATTGGAATCCATGTATGTATTTGTAAATGGCTGCATAAGCTTTCTAAATTTTATTACAAAGGGTTCAATAAGATCATTAATTATATTTTTCTTGTTTAACTGTTGTGAGAGTTGATTTATATGGTGTTAAAACGTCTAGTTATTCAGATTCTTCTTGATTTTAATTTTGATTTGACTTTGAAATCCTCTGGACATATGTTAGATTGTGATAACGGCTGCTCCTTAACCAGCGTGAGGTCATATGCTTAAAACAGAAATAAAATATAAGTGGATAAAAAAATGTGTTTGCCAAAATAAGTTCAGTATTTATGAGTAAATATTTTCTATAGACTTTTGTGTACTCACAATAGAGCCATATTGCGTTATAGCATTTATTTTCATTTGGACCACAAGTGTTCTGTGAATTGTACATTGTACGAGTGTGGACTGTATATTTGTTGCTAATATTAATAGCAAAATAGGTAGTTACAAAAATGTAAAGTCATATTTTGAATCTACTTTTTATATAAATGTAAGTTGAAATTATTCTATAGTAAAAAATTAAGAATTATTAATTAAGTTGAGTCGGTGGTGTGCAGATTTGTGGGGATGTCAGGGAGAAATTCCTCAAATCATATGCACCTTCAAAAAAGAAAATTATCAAGAACTAGTTAATTAAAGAAATAGTATTAGTAACAAAATAAGTAGTTACAAAGTAAACATATAAATCCATATTTTGAATCTATTTTTATATAATTGCATGGTGATAAATTATTAATTATAACAAAGTTATTTAAAAAAATTCTTAAATGTTAAGGATATTTAAAATTGTTTGAAAGTCATATTTTATTCCTCTTAGAATATTTTGCATTAGCCAAATATTCACCTATTGAAAATTTTTATTTCAGAATAAAAGCAATGGAAATTTAAATTAAGATTTTTAAAGTTTTAGTTTTGCTTAGTCATTGATTAGATACCCAGCTGAAGACATCACTCCTTAGACCCTTCTTCATACCACTTAGTCAGAGTTCCCCCAAAAAAGAAGCTGGATAATTCAGGGTTCCATATCTGTTTATATGGAGAATTGATTGAAAGTGTAATTAACTTTTTCCAGTGAAATAAATTAAATAGTGTAAACAAACATTGTTTTATAGTTTCTTTTATAAATTGGTATTAATATTATGAATTCTGTGATTATTTTAACTTTGTTAGTTATAATTTCCCCCTATATTTTTTAGGTCATGTGTGAAGGAAATTTTAAGAAATGTGACATATGGGAACTATCATTATATGGCTCAAAATGGCACATCTTCTAGCATAATAAATCTTTTGCAGGGTACAGTAATTTTTTATTAATGAAATTTTAATTCGATTAATTCTTATTATCTGTTTTGTGTTTTGAGCAATAGCAAATTGCCACTGCTTGTAATTACATGTAATATTAGTTGTATGCTAAAAATTCAGCCCATGGTAATTCGAGCTCACATTTTTTTTTTTTTGTGCTTATGAAATTCTGTATTACACTGTTTTATCAGCACTGTATCTGTTTTGTGATATTTCTGTGTATATTATTGTAACAAATAATAATAATTACAAATAAGAAAAGATTGTTTTACTATGCAATGCAGCTGACATCTTGTGACCATTTTCAACTTATTTATCTATAATCTAGAAATATTAAATGAAATATTCTTGTAAAAAAATCAAATAATAGCTTTCATGATAAATACATTAAATTTAATTCATAATCAACAATATGTAATTAATTCAAACATTTATTTATAATTTAAAGAGTACATTTTTTAAAAGACCAACAACAAATTGAAATGATTCCATGAGATAAATAGTTAAGTACTGCATTTCAATTAACACGTTGAATGCCACACTAATTTCACGTGGCTTGCCCGTCTGGCCAAAATGATTTTTGTGTATTCTATATTGCATTAATTTCTTAAAACCATTTTAGTAGCGATAATAATATTAAAAAAATTGAAAGTATGAAAAAGTTACTCGAATTATGTGTTTCTAATAATCTTGGCTTCGCTGGTCACTGATGACCCTCGTGGCGCTACGAACAAACTCAGTGCCGGTCACCGGTAACCCCTATGGTATTCAACGTGTTACTATAAGGCTATTATTGTGTTACGTGTTAATATAAGGCTAGTATTACTATGAGCTATGTTTATTGCTTTCTCTGAAGAAAATCTGATTTTACACAAAACTTTAATATCTGTTGGGCTATTTTATAAATTTTTGTTTTTATAAGCAGAGTATTTCTTCTACCAGTTAGCACTAACATTAATTTAAGCTATAATTAAGATTTATTGATACGTTTATTTTCTTTTAAATTTAGTTCGTTATTAAAAAATTACACATCGACAAGTGTTTTTAAAAACACCTCTTACTGTATATAAGTCACATATTTCAAAATAAAATTTAAGGTAATTTAATTCCGTACTGTATATTAAATATTTGTTCTCTCTTTAACATTGTATTTTGTATCACGAACAGCAAGCCATGATGCAAATACTACCTATGGAATAAATGTGGAAATGCGTCCAACTGGAATGCTTAAAAGGACAAGTTTTGATTTAAGCCTCAGTGGAGGAAATCATAATTTACATCTCATGTCTGTGAGTAAATGCATGATTTTACCATCACTTGTATATCACATTTCACCGAAAATCATAAATTTTGTATTGTTAAAGGCTTTTGTGCAAATCTTTTAATGTTTGTCTAAAAACTAGTATTAATCAGTATCCAGTCTTATTATATTCTCAGGTGTTAAGAATTTTAGGTACGTTGCATCATTTTGGTGTTAATTAACACATAATATTTTTATCATCTCATCAGAAAATAAAGCTTTTGCAAATACTCAACCTTTAACTTTTTGAAACAAGCTTTAGCAATAATAATGTTAATTATTGGACTTATATTGATGTTTTCACTGTGAAATTATTAACGAATTTAATATAGTACTATTTAAAGTTTAATTTTGTTTCAATAAAATATAAATCATATTAGTATTGCACCATAATTATTTTTAAAAAAATTCTTTTAAGGGTTGAAAAACTTTTATATGTTAATATTTATTTAATTAAACACTACATTTTTTCAAAAGTAAAATAAAGATGAAAATAATTTATGAAGAACACTCATGCAGAATTTTGCTAAGCTTTTTTCTCCAGCTTAGAAGCACAATTATGTCAAATGTTCTTCATCAAGACTTCTAATAATTACAAATGTACTGTGGGCATCATTAAAAGCAGACAATCAAATCTTGCTCAATGAATGATTACCACTTTTTTAAATGAGGAATATTTTAATTTTGCAATTCGAAATTGCAAACAAGGAACCTTATTAGTTTAATATCGAATTATGTATTAATGCCTATATAATGGAACAAAATTAAAACAAAATTTATTCTCAGTGTGTAAAATTTTCACATTGACTTGGACTTAATTGTTCTGTGGATACTATCGTTCTGTGATATATGTTACAATTTTAAGCATTTTCTGTTTTAAGGTTTTACAATACAAAGATTCTGAAAATTAACTTGCTTATGTCTATGTCAGACTAACATTTACAAGTTTTTCTTCTTCTTCCAGTTAGGCTTATTTGTGGAAGGATTTGGACTAACGGATGAAGAACAAAAAGAAAATCCTGAAGAAGCCTCTGCAGGAATGCAACTGTCAGTCCTTGGAGTTAATCTGAGACCTTACATATTTTTCTCGGGCACGGGAGAATTGATGGGACTTGTATGGTCTGGTGCTGGGAGTGAACCCACTCCAGCAGTTCAGGTAAGGAAGAATATCTTCATCTTTTCAGCGACAGTTACCATCAATACTTCTGAGTTTATCAGGTTAATTGTATTAACCTGATGAATGATGACCATTAAAATAATTATCTAATGTTTTTTGTTTAAACACACTGTTCACATGTTTCAGTGTTTAATACACAAATTTGTTTTGTCGTAGTAATACAATCATAGTAATCGTTCCACCTGTTGTGTGTGCGTTGATCATTGTTTAGGAGGAACACTATTTTTTTTTTTCACTGGCTCAGATTTATGAGAAATTCGAACAATCGAGACTACTGTATTGGATTTCAGGTTAAAAACATGCATTTAAATATGCTCGTTATTTATAATGTAACTTAAATAACTTAATGTAATATTCAATAACTTAAATGATAAAAGAATTAATAAGTTCAGTGTAAAGTTTCCTTTAGAAACGATCACTTTAAACAAAAGTAATGTGCAATTGCATTACATAGAGAGAAATACTTCTAACGTTTAGGATTGACATTATTAGAATATTATTTTGATATATTTTAGTTTTATTGTAACAACGTTTTTAATTTACGGAGAGCATAGTTTCATCTTATTATTCTTTGTTATGTGATGAAACCAGGGCTCGAAAAAAGTCAGAAATTTTACCCGTCCCCGAGGACAGCTTATCCAACAATGTACCCATCCTCCTTTGAAACTAACCTGCAGCTTCTAGATAAATAAAAATATAATTTTCTCTTATTTATTACAAACATTTATATAAATTGCACAATGAATTAGTAGTTACAAGGATTACAAATACTAGGATTACATTATACAGTAATAAAAGAAATACTAGGTTACTAATAGTAACCTAGTATTATTTTTATTATTTATATTACAAACATCAATTCCACCATGCGCAGTATGTTGCTGTATTGTGGGTCATTTTGCTGCATTAGGTTTTATAAATAGCTTAGGCTCGGAGGAATGAAGCTTTCTGGTGTTTAAAGATGTTATGTATCTTAAATTTTAATGACACCCATTCTTGAGAAAAATTTTCTTTATCTACTCCTTCAAAAAAGATTGTATGATAACAAAAATTGAAAATGTATCGCGAACATTAACGGAAAAATTGCCGTCCGAGCAGACGTCGGATTCGAGAAATTCGTTGTCCGCTGGGAATTTTTGACCGCCGAGTACGAGCGGTTTTTCGAGCCCTGGATGAAACTATGCTAACTTGTTATCTTTTTTTAAAATTGTCTGTACATACTTTTTAAAAACGTTTATAAATAAAAATAATAAATAAATATTGAGTATCGTGCAAATATTTAGATCAATAGAGTAATTTTTTTAAAGCAACTGCCAAAATATTTTGAACACTAATGGGTCAAATTTCTTCATTTTTACACAACGAAACAATTTAAAATCTTATAACATAGTCTCATCTAATCAAGCTACAAAGTCAATAATCTAATTTCAGATCATCCTATTAGTTGTGAATAAGGATAGTGTCTCCTTAGGAAAAAAATTCCCACTAAGGGAAAAAAAAGTGAAAGGTATTGCTCAATAAAAAACTTACTATGACAAATGTCTCTTTTAAATAGCCAAGCAGGTGTAGAAATTAATTAAAAATGTTAAGTACACATTTAAAATGAAATGTATCTAAATTAAAATCTTACCAAAGAATGAAATTTTTTTTACGAGTTGCTCTGGTGTAGCAACTTCAAATAATGAAAAAAAAAATTTTTTTTGAATTTTACGGATAAAATTTTCAACATTACAATGTTGAATAAGAAGATTTATATTACTTCGACGTCAATCACTCACCTCGGAGGATTGTAATTACACATAATATTGTTACAACTTCTTCTAAAATAATAAAGTATTTAATGACATTCTTAAGTATTCGGCAAAATATTTGTATAAAGGTTATATTTAAATGAAAATTAATTATTGTTTGAATTCTAGGCAAATTTCTTATTGATGGATCAAACCCATTCTGTTGTCTTACAAAATGGTATCACAGTAGATTTAAATCTAAAAGGTGCCTTGTCTGCAGATGTCTCAGGAACTGTTGAAGTCTCCATGTGGAATAAGAATGCACATGCTGTAGTTAAAAACAGGTTAACGCTAGGTTTCTATTCAATTATTTCTAACTGCAATTGCTAGCAACATTCTTTCATCTATTGACTTAATATTTCCTTTTATTCATCTTACATTTTGTATTAACTGTGCTTATAACATTATTATGGAACCTACTAAATTGTGTGATTGATATTGTTTACAACTTTTGCATTGATAATGATAGTACAGTATAGTGCCTCTTCCATGGAACTCATCCAGACATCAGTCTCGCGTCATGACTAGTACCATGCTTAAGAGGAAAAGTCACCACGAATAGGAATGTGCGTGAATAGTTTTATCCTGATCTTGGCGTAGGTCAGCATGAGTAAACCAATCAACACCTTCATTCATCCATTGCACCCTCATTAGAAATGTGCTCTCCCTTATTACCATACCAGCAGACAGCCCCAGACTTTTAGTCAAGGAATCCTCCTCAAAGCCGCATAATAAACTGACTATTTGACCTAGTTAAATATGAGAAATGTTTGAACTTGCCTTTTGCAAAACGTGTCGTTGGAGTTGGTAGAGGACGAAATAAAGAATGTTTAAGTGGTCATCATGTATAAAAACTATGCAATTGTTACGATTTTCAACTGATAAAAGAATAGTTTTTATGAGCATAACAGTGTAGTTTGACTCCTTCTAGTCATTACTTTTCAAATTTATATTTTATATAAATAAAGTATTTTTGCATTAACCATTTATCTTAAGATGCGTAACACATGTTTTTAATTATATGGAGAAAAGAGTAAAATGTAACCTGATCTTGTTTTGTTTGTTATATGACCTTTCCTTCTGTCACATTAAACTGAATGGTCAGGAGCTTGCTGTAATTTTCATTTTTTTTTGTAATCTGCTCAAAATTAGGTAATTAAAACTTTTAATTACAAAAGAAGTAATGCATATTATAAAGGAATGTTTGTACTGAGTCATTTCCTTTCACATGGAATTTTATAGTGCATTATTGCTGGAATTTAATCTGGAATTATTTCTTCTGTGATCATTATAATGCAAATGATCACAGAAACTGATATTTGTGAGAACAAATTGGTTGCACAGAATTTCAACTTTATAATAAAAACGTGTTTTTCAAAGAAACAACCAATTTGTTTATTTTTGAATGTTCTTCAAAAAAGTTAACAAATATCAACAAAAAAAAAATCTATTTATTATACCGAAAATTGCTTTAAAAGTTTGATGTTAAAATTTAACACTTTGTTTTAAAGAAACTTTTTCAAATACTGTACACAATTTGTATACATTACACAAAATTTGAATTAATTTGTTTTTATTTTTAAAGTTAATTTATTTAATCCACATAAGAAAGAACCAAATTATTATAAAACCTCAATATATTTTTTTAGCGCTTCCAAAATTAATGAAGAAAAAACTTCAACTTATACACACTGTTTTGTTACTGTGTACAAACATTAAATTACATTATATTATACATTGCAAAAATATAGAAAATTAACATTACTTTATAATTCAACATTATTCCAACAATTCAACATATTCTTTACCTCTCATTATGTGTCTGAAATATTAAGCAATTGTATATGCATTAGATAAAATACATTAACTCTAATTGCCAATTTATCATTCCCACTTTATAATTTAAATACATAACAACTTTCTATTTTGCTTTAGGGGAGCATTGCTTGTAAATGGATTTTGCAGAGTAGACACATCTTTTGTTGAAAGCCATGTCGATTTTGCTTTAGGTGGTAATTCTGTGCTGAATATGGTTGTAAATTTAGACTTCGCCCATAAACCCATGAAAATTTGTTTGCAAATAGATCAACCTGATTATATATTTAGGTAATATCTCAAATGTCACATTTTTCAAGAATTTAACTTTTCATTTTTATCATCAATATTCATTAGAATAATCTCATTAAATTTTGATCAGTCGATTTGACTTCTGAAATTTTTGCTTTGATTTATATTTTTAATGTTCCATTTTAGGCACAATGTAAGAAAAACTGAAACCATACCTGGAAGTAAGCACTTAATTAAGACGTTGAAAAGACGAAGCATGTATTTTCCTGGAAAGTCGTTTAACTTGCACAGGAAGAATTCCGACTCGTGTAGAGAGTTACTCATTCCAAAGAAGCAGAAATCATCATTCTGGTATTGTATTACATTCCTCTTACTCTTTTAACTTATTTGAATGGATACATTGTGGCGTCAAATCTTGTTTGCCGATGTATGATTAAGTTAAGTATTTCCCTCCCCCAGTCACTGAGGTTAGGGTTCTACAATTTCAAGATTAATGGCTTGATTGCAATAATGTGGTCAGCATTATGCACAAGCTGCCTTTTACCAGCAATCTACAATTTCAAGATTAATGGCACGATTGCAATAATGTGGTCAGCATTATGCACAAGCTGCCTTTTACCAGACGAGGCTCAGCCCGAGCTTGTTTACTAGAAAAAGGTTTTGGACATGGACTTGTGATATCACAAGTACAAACGCTAAACAAACTTTTGGTTCACTTATTAAGTGTACAAAATGTAAAATTTTTAATGTATAAAAAATATCATCGCTCTGCTTCGTAGTCACAAAATTTGGGTCTTTATCCAACGTGTATCGTGCACTCAGGCTCTAAGTAAAATATATCTCAGGCTTGGATCCCCAACTTACTATTCAAACTTATCTCTAGTACCCATTGGGTGTGAAAATGGCTTCAAGCAGTCACTAAAAACCAAACCCTAGTTCTTTGCAATGACAGCTCAGTGACTTTAACCATTGAACCATAGCAGCTCAGTGATATACAGTTGCATTTGTACTTTTTATGATATGCGATAAAAAAAACTTTTATTTTAGGAACTGGAAATTCTAAACTGAATTAGTTTTAAATATGTCAGTTTTAGTTTGTTTTTTTTTAGTTACTGCAATTTATAAAAAGCATTCTCGCAATAGCCCACTGTGAGCCAGGGGCGACATAGAGGTTAAGGATTCAAAAGTTTTTAACTAATGGCATGATTGTGGTCAGCATTCCGCACAGGCTGCCTGTACTTCCCAGGCAAGCTAGTACCCATCGGTACTGATATATTTATATCGATGCATAATTTGTTCTGGATTTGGGGTTCCATACTGTAATTTACTTCCCTTATTATTATCATCTTATATTAACTATTTTATTTTTATTACAGGTAATGATGAAGTTTTATTTTACCAAAGTGACCGAGTACTTAACAAGATGGAACTTAACTAACTAAATGTGAAAAATCAAAAGTAGATTTATTTCATTCATCTGATATTTTAAGAACAATTTGTGTGTTCAGATATATTCTCAATCATCCAACATTTATGGGACCAAAAATATTTCTATTAACTTGAAAGTTATGATTGTGTCCATATTATCATTTGCTATAATTGAGAATTAATATTTAATACACCTTTTAATTCATCCCTGCTTACTAAAAGTGTTCTTTTTACAAGCATATTGTCTATCATTAATTTCATTTTTAAGTTTAATTGATACAAAAAAGTAATATTTTTTTGGCAGATTTTTTAGTTTTTTCTAAATTTTGCAGTTAAAGAGCTCAGTTTACCATTACCGAATTTAGTTTACCATTAACAGAAATGAAAAATTGTTTCGTTTAAAAATCTTTAAAACAGAATTAAGTTCTTGACACAAATATTGTTTTAGCTATTAATACACTAAAATTGATAGCTATTTACACACTTTTAGCACCTAAGAAAGACTGATCAGCTTGTTGGATAGTTGAGAGTTTACTATAGTTTAAAACACACTATTAATAAATTTAAATCACGAATTGCGAAAATTTTCTATTTCGAAATTATTTAATGAAAATTCATTTCTGTTGCTCAAAAGTTAAAATACAGAATTCCAAAAATATGTCATTGTTCTTAATTTATGTAACTTCTTCAAACCAGACTTTGAATATAACAAAAAATGTTTAGTTTCTGGTTGCTTTGATATTTAACATAAATAATGAAAGAAATAACCCAAAATGAGAAAATTTAATTCTCTGTATGTCGTAAAAGTTGTGCAGCAATATGAAATTTTTTAATTTGGTGGTTAAATTTAAAAAGAAAAGCTTTATTTGATTATGAAATAATTCCATGTTACATTATTTCAATGACCTTTTAATTTTATGTACGTTTTTTGACATTGCATGTTAAAATTAACAAAGCTGTACTTTGTTCATGGCATAAATTTGACCAATACTGGCTTTAATAAACATTTGCTTTCTGTAACTTAATGAGATTAATGTATATTTTAAAGTGCCAAAAAGATTGGTGAAACTTAGTTTTGTGAATCATTTATAATCTTCATTGCTTTTTGTTAAAACATGGCTTATTTTTACTCACCATTTATAGTTTTTTTTAATACAACAAAAATAGTATTTATTTTGTTGTTCACTTAATTTTATATTATTTAATTATTGGAAGTGTGTATTTTCTTCAGATTGATATCAGCTATTTATTGTCATAAAGATAATTCATTGTTATTTAATTTATATGTTATTTATGAATTTTCCTGCACCAAAGACTTCCTCAGTCTGATGTTTTGTAAAATAAAATGCAAAGAGAAAAATTTTCTGTGTTATTTCAATCTGATTCCTAAATAAACTTTTTATAGACTAGTGTTAAAATTAATTAGTAAAAACAATTATATATATTCAATCAGAAACCTGATCTCAAGTTTATCCCCCAGGACATTACTGGCTAATTTCTTATAAAACAGCCAAGCAACTTTTTTACTTAAACACTCTGAACCACAATATGTAAGTGAAGGATATTCTTACAGTTAGAAAAATTAAATATACCAGTGTATTATTTGTGCTGAATGTGAATTGTTTATCTACTTGAATGACTATGGCAACTATAACAAATGATTTCTGCTGAACAATTAGTTACCAGTCCCAAAACAGACTTTAGTTTTTAAAACTAAAAATTAGGGAATACACGTCAGCCAACTATCTACGCTTTTTGTAAAAATTTATTGCTGTGGTAGGTTATAATGCATTATTTTTTATTCATTTAAATGTTCAGGGTCACTCATGGTTAGGCTTCAAAAATGCTGGCAAATTTACCAAAAATTCTGAAAGCCTTGGTTTTTAAATGACTATTACTCTACAAAATATTATGCGAAAAGCATAGTATGAATCCTAGTTTGAATCCTTCAATGTGTTATATCTGTAGTGAAACAAGTAGGAAAAAAAGGATTAAAATAAAATATTGCTAATAAAAATTACACGGGCAGAATTAACAACGCAGGGTTCTCGTTGCCACCAGCCAAAATAATTTAAATTATCCTATAATTATTCGGTGAGTAGCTAATGCCGGAAACGAATTTTTCACACAACAGTCACATATTTTAAAATTGCACAATACTTTCTGGGAAAGTAAACAACTCTGAGATGAGATTGTGAAGATCTACTAAAAAGACAAATTATAGAAAAAAAGTATTTTTAACACTTATTTTCGGTAATTTTTAAAAAAAAACTTTTGCAGAATAAAAATACATTTGTTTTGGATTGGTCCTGGTAGTTTAGTCAGAAGAGCAGATGTTAATTTCATTTTTTTTTTTTTTTTTGCATACTTTATATTTCTAGAGTTTTTTTATACACAATTATAAAATTCACTTATCCAAGGATAATTCCAGATTAATAATTTTTAATTTATTTAATAATCACTAAAAAAAAATTTAAATGATGAAGTATGCAAATCGTATCATTTTAAAGTATCTGATTTAAAATGAGAAAATTTGATCAAAATCAGTTAAATAATTTTTAAGTAATCACAACTTTTTAAAATTTGATAACTCAAAAATTATTCAACCGATTTCATTTGAATTTTTTCTTAGCATACTTTAAAATAATATGTAATAAATGTTTCTTTAAATGATAAGACCTATACATATCATTTATCTTTAAATCAATATAACGTTATATATAACAAAATACAATGAAAGATGTTTTCAGGGTGCGTAGCCAAATCTTTCAACAAAAAATAAGTACTTTTTAAGCACATAAAAAATATCTTCAAGCACTATATACATTAACAAAATAAACAATAATTTTCTAAGACCAATAATCATAATCATGATAAAATAACTAGTTTCTGACAAAGAACTCTTTATTACATTAGCCACCATAAAAAGATAGAGATTTTTTGGTATGATTTCAGAGGGAGGAAATTGAAGCCTGAAATTGTGAATCTCTTGCAAAATGCAGCAGAATTGCAAATGATAGTGCAAGAATAATTGCCACTGAATCCAGCTCAGTATATGCATAAGCAGACCATCAAGCATTTCATTAAACATGTAAAATGATTGGCGCTTTCACACACAACGAAAAGCCGGAATGCATTTTCTTTGAGTAATTTGTAAAAAGGTTGAATGTGAAAACCACGCTTTTGCGTAATACATGGCGAAAATTGACACGGTAAAGAAAAAAAAATCTTTAAGGGCTTTTAAAAACAAAAATTAACACCTTTAATCACTTTTTAAAAACGCTACGCACCCTTGTTTTGAATCTGCTTGATTATGCCAACTGTAATTGCATTTAGCATTTTTGAAGGCCTATTTGGTGCCAACTAAATACATAGTCCATGAAACTCTACAATTAGTATATGTTTAATTTAAAAAAAAAAGAAAGACAATGGCAAATAAAAATATAACAATTTACGCATCAGGTCGTATAGCTCCCCTTTTAGGTATTGTTCTCCAGTGTTAAGATAAAAAAAGTAACAAATGCTTTAAAAGAAACTAATCAAAAAATAATAGTAAGACAACTTTTCAATGTACTTTATTCTAGTTCACCATTATGGATGCACACACAAAATGATACCAAAATCAGAACCTTTAAGAGTAAAATGGAATATTATATGTATTCATGACAGTTCTTACAACACCCTTTAAACTTAACTTGGAGGGGGCGGAGGTGGTGGTGCAGTTAGCAATGATGGAAGTGACAGAGTAGATAGAGATGAATTCTGACTAGCACCAGCACTGGATGTTTGGGCTGAGCTAGCAGGAGGGGGAGGAGGTGGAGGTTGTGCTGCAAGTGATTGCAGAGATGCAGCCTGCATGGGGGGCGGAGGTGGAACTCCCATGAATCCACCCCATGGATACATTGTTGCAGCCATGGCTGGCGGTGGTGGAATGGGGGCAATTCCTGGAGGTGGAGGTACAGGCATAGGTCCAGCTGCAACTTGGGGAGGCATACCCCAGGGTGAGGCTAAAAAAGAAAAATAATAAGTCATTTGTTTAAGCAACTAAATATATTCTCAAACAATTTTCTTTAAAGTGAAATTTCTTGGAAATAATTCTGCTTATTTCACATGATTTAACTTTTTCATTATTTTGTAATAGTAGTAGCTTGAAATATTTAAAATACACATAAAAATCAGATAATGCAAATTTGTTCATTGGAAATGTAATACGATATACATTGGAAAACCCAGCTGCGAAGTACAGAAATATAACTAGCAATTCCATTTGTTCTTTTTTGGAAGAAAAAAAATTATATCTAATGGATTATAAATATGTATAGATAATTTTCAAATGCTTTCTAAAATTTTCTGTTATAATTAAACTCAGTGGAAATAATTTTAAAAAAATCTGTAGCAACTGGCAGCCCTGTGGTAGATAATAAAAATTAAAGAAATTTAATCATATGAAGAAGAACATTTTCAGAAGAAACCCAAATTTTTAGTTCCTGATAACTTGTAATTTCGTTTTAAGAAGAAAAAATATGTTGCTTTACATGAATTTTTTTATTAACTAACCTTGCGTCACAGCTGCTGAGGGAGTCATCCAGGCAGTTGTAGTTGCAGTTACTTGCGACTGTGAGGCAGATGGTAGATTTGGTGGTGGTGGAGGTGGCGCTAACACTCCCACCATAGGTGCATTACCCTAAAAATAAACGGACTCAATACATTCTGTTCATAAACAAAAATTGAAGGATGGAAAATTCTATAATTAACTAATAGAATCATATTTATAATAGAAAATAATAAATTATAAAACTAACAAAATAGATAATAATTCCCATTTATTAAAAAAAATCATTAACCCAATTATTAAATTCATTATTTAGAGACATATCATTAGGTGTTTGTAAATTATTGAGTAAATGATTACCTAAATCTTTAAAAATTCAATACTTCTTCTCCATCAATCTAGACACATACAAAAATTCTTTTTTCTAAATAATAATAAAAAAAAAATTAAGGAAATATTTTTAATATTTCTTTTTTTTCTCTCTCTTAAGATTTTGGCAATTTATTTGCAAATTATCTACCTTAGCAACATGTTTAAATTTCCAAAATACTCTTCACCATTTAAATATACAGTCCAGAACCCGTTATCCGGAAATAGGAAAACCAAAAAACCGGAACGAAATTCGATAAAATTTCCCACCATTTTAAAAAAAAAAAAAATTTTTTCTCTCATAAGGTTTTAGGATTTTTCTTTCCTTTTTGAAAGATGTTTACCTTATCATCATTTTGGAAATAATCATTAGTGTAATTACTTCATCGTTTTTTCTTCTTTTCAAGATTTCCAAATATTAAAAAAAATTTTTTTTAAGTTAGGTTTAACAATAAAAAACCGCTTTTTGCAGCGATTCAGAAAACCGGAAAAATCAGTTATCCGGAATAGCGATGGTCCCGATCGTTCCGGATAATCGGTTCCCTACTGTACTAGAATTTTGGAGAAAAGCAATAAAATTTAAGAACGTAAATTTCATAAAAAAATAAGTATTTTTTAACCACACACAATATCAGATTTTAATCTTATTCATCTAAATATTTTATGCAGTTAATTTTGAGCATATTAGAAAAAAAGTTTTGGATAGTAAAATATATATGAAAATACAGAAAAAGTATAAGCTTATTGATAAAGTTAGCAAAAAAGAGTAAATAAAAAACCAAAGGGAAAAAATGCGGGTTTTAAGGTATAACATATAAATTATTTTTACGTATAAATTGATTACAAGTTAAAAAATTTATTAAAAAATAAAATCACTACATATGTAACGCCAATGAACTAACAGAAAAAATTAAATAAATTACATTTAAAACTAAAAAAAATTTCCTCAATTAACCTCATGATTAAGATGAATTTCTGTTAATTGATTATCCAGAATCAGACCTTTTTCTAAAAATAAAAATTACAACTAGATAGAAATTTAAGAAATTACTTGTGTAGTGAGCACAGTTTGTTGTGCAGTCACAGGGACTTGGAAAGGTGGTTGATTCCAAGGTGGCATTCCTAGTGGAGCCATTCCAACAGATGCAGGAGGTAGAGGGGGAGGCATCATGGGTGGGGGCATCAACATAGATGTCATAGTAGTCTGAACCATACTTGTTGGAGGAGGAACAGCTCTTACTTTGCCCTGACCACTGTTGAACATTGGCTGAGTGTTCTAAAAAAATTGTATATAATTAATTATACTAAAAGGAATATATTATTGGAACAGGCTGGAGATGTAGAGGCGCTTAGCACGAAATGCTTTTCCGCTATCAAATAGTTGTTATTGACTGAAATCATAAATTATATTAAGGTGCATTTGCATAAAAACATCAGGAAATTTAATAAAAATTCTTGGAAAAATCAAAACTGATTTATCGAAAACATCTTCACTGGTTGTTACAAAAGTGTCAACGGCAAGGTAAGAACTTCATAATCATGGAGTAAGTCTGATTTTTTTTTTATCAACCTGACAAGTTTTCTTGCCTTGTTTGTAGACTTTCCAACTTTTCTTCGATGTTGGTGCAATTTTTAGATCCTGGCTGCATATTCAGAAAATATAGACCACTTCTTATTAACTTATTTTACTAACAGTGGTACTTTCATTACAAGGCGACCTTTATTAGCAAACATTACGGAAATTCCCCTCTCTTTAGTATAGGGTTGATTGTGTTATCTGCTCTTAATTATAGACACTTTGGAGTTCCGTTAACAAAATACTTCTCTGTAATACTTTGTGATTTGGATTTTATTGACATAGAAATTGGAATCTTAGTAAAAACAAAACAAAAACCAATTTTCCCTCCAAAAAAATTTTTTTTGTGATATTTATACTGTAGATCTAGTGAGTAGACTAAATATGTTTCAGATGTAGGAGAATCAACAAGCTATATTAAAAAGGCGAAATTTGCAGGTTCAAGCACTGTTATATTGTAAAACCATACTTAGACAGACCCTTAATTTAATAGAACAACTTTGGTAGAAGCATTTTTTAATCCCTAGATGTAATGGGAAAAGCATGCATTTTAATGAATTCAGTGGCCCTACGTAGAAAACTAAAGTAAAAAAAAGAAAGGCTTCTACATGAAAAATTACCTTTCAAAATTTATAAATTACTTTTTTTCCAAAAACATTACCCATGCTCCTAATCAGTTGATAGATTAAATGAGATATGCAGAGCCAAGTAAACGGTATATAAAAAAAAGGTGAAAGCAGTTATTTGAAAGGATAAATGAACGATTATCTCCAGAATATTACACATGATTAATATTCTAGTATAGCACTTGTAGCATATATACTTGCTACAATTAAAAACATAAATGGAAATAATGTGCCTTTCTAAATTTTATATTTTCAGCATCATTAACAAAATTTTAAGATTTTTTTTCTAGTGTAATTACCTTTAATGTATATGCATAGGTTTTAATTGATTATTGACAGTGTACACACTTTTTTTATTTTACTTAAAAAGACAATATTTTAAAGAAAAATATTTGAAATTCACTTAAACTATTTTCATTAAATAGACTTTATTTAATGCTGCATTATGTTAAAAAAAAGTTAAATGAGGCTTAATTTTTATTCATTATTAAACTATCAGTACTAAAACAAACTTTATCTATATTCCGGATGTTACTGATCTACAATAATAGATTCTTATCTCACAAAAAAAGAAAGAAAAAAACCTTCTGATACACATTTTATTGAAATAAATATATGACTAGAATATAAATGAACTTTAAACTAACTTCAATCTGTTAATAAAAACTGACTTTTTTATTTTTCCTGAATATTTAGCATCCTTAACTATCAACTGCTAACCTGGTAAGTTCAAGATTTAAAATTCCCATATAAGTGGGCAAACATGCATAATTAGGGAAAGAAAAAAACATATTACTGTAGTCTGAAACTGTGCTACACTAGAAGTGGGTGGAGCCATGATTGCACGTGGAGGTCCAGGTGGTGCTTGTAAAGGAGAGATAGAAGATTGAGACATTGAATTCCCCAATGAATTCAATTTGGTTGGAGGAGGTGGCCCTTCTCCAAGTTCTGCCATCAAGGACATATACTGAAAGTAGACAGAATTGATTAATGCATAGACTTTAAAAGGATGTATAATTCTATTTAATGTGAGTACAAATACAGTTTGTGACTAGTTTTAACATAAAAATTAATCTAAGTTAATTACTAAAAGGAAAATGAAATAAATACACAATAAATTACTTATTTCGAGACAAGTGGTTTAAATGAGATTTTAATTAACAAAATATCAATGTATAAAATAAAATTGTAATATGATTGCTACTTTTGGGCTACTTGATAAGAAAGCACGAGGACAAAAATCAAGGTATTTGTGGGGGAAAAAATATATATTGAAAAAGTGTTGGAAGACAGAAGTAGTAATGGCAAGATGAATAACACATATACAAGTTTACAACACATTTGTTTGGTCTAAAATACTAGTTTTGTTCCTTGAAAAAAAAGGGGGGGATTTCAATTCAAAAAATTTGCAAAAAACACTGGCAGTATCAATAACTACAAATTATAAATGTCATTCAATATCAAAATTCAAACTTCCTTTTAAAATTTGTAGACACACTTATAATTACTAAAATAATTTATTTTTTTCAAATTTTAGTTAACATGTAAAAAAGCAAAAACTTTCAAAAATGTTTTAGTTACAATTAAGTATGTCAAGAAAAATTATAAACAACTTTCAGATGCTGAAGCTCAGGCACTTTTGTAAATAGGCCAAAATATTTCTTAAAATTCTAATAATATTGGATTAACAAAACATACCTCTTCATCAATTTTAGCCTTGTCAGGAGCTCCCAAAACACCAGGCATACTCTTCTGTTCTCGGCAATCTTTTGCAATGTGACCAGCAGAGCCGCAGTTAGTACAAATGACATTATTTGTAACATTTGGCTTATCAGGGCATTGCCAACTTCTATGAGTGGTACCACCACAATTTGTACATCGTGGTCCATCATTTTCCCTCAGAGTTCCATTCAGCAGGGCTAATTCACGCAGCTGCATACGCCTTAAATCATTCTGTCCTTCAGGTACCTCTACACCTTGCCTGATAATCTCCTTGATCTGAAATAATGTAATAAAAAATAATGTAATTTTTCTAACATATGAGAACTCATGATGGATCTGTAAGACAATAATGCACTTTCTCATGTCTAAAAGTTGTAGAACCACCCACCAATTTTGACAAAGATACTCCACATTTAGAGCATTTGCACTGAATGACATCATCATGACAACCTTATAACATTCTTGAATTAATTCCACAAATAGCAAATATCTTATGAGTAATACGCAAGCATGCATTTGAGTTTTTTTTTTCATTCCTAATAGCATTGCAGTTGGCACAAAAAAAAAAAATTAAAACAGAATTATACACTATGCTACACATACCAGACTTTTTTTAAAAAGGGCTAGCTAAAAAAAGCAGCATAATTTGTTCTGCTTAAGTGTAATAAAAGCAATTTTTATTGCATAATAATAAAATATACTATTTTTAATTTCAGATTTACTTAGTGTAGAACAGAAAGTTTTAGCAGTTTCCAGTAAAATTTTATTAACAATGAACAGCTCAATATAAATATCAATATTTATTAATATTAAGTTTTAAATGGAAAATTTTTATTGTACTGTTGCATAAAAAAAATTAATTTTCGGCTTTATATTAATGTGATTGAGAAAGCAACTAAGAAATAACAAGACAATAAAAATGAGTAACAAATTAATAATCATTAAAAGTTAAGACAAAGCTCCCAATTTTTAACAAAATGAATCAAATCTAGGTAATTGGTACATATTAAGAATTAGACAAGAATAAGTTATGTGTGGCACATACTATCAGATGCACAACACTTGTCGATCAACACCAAAGCTTCAGATCACAACCAAGCAAGTTTTTCTTATTAGTGTGCTATGTATGCGCCTTAGCCTCAAATCTCCACTAGGCAAGACAGCTTTGATGACCTAGTCACTCTTGACGTGACAAGTACACCAGTGTAACAAAAAGTTTGAAACTGAGTTCAAGATTTCCTAAATTAAATCATTTTTAAAGTAGCGCTTTAATAATTTTGAAATGAAACAGTGAATGTGCTACTTAAAATTTTCATACAAAAGTAATTTTAGTAAATAATTCCTCAATTCACAATTTAAACTACAATAGTTCAACGTACAAGATTTGTTACTGCATTTGCTAAAAAATATTAAGAGTATGATCCCTGAATTAATCATCAGAAAACTAATACAGTATAAAATTGTTCATTAAGTTCTTTTATCATAGAATGACTGAATTCACAAGGATTAAACATTGAATCCTATGGGTAAAGCTATATGGCCGAACCATGTATAGACTTAGTAGACTATTGCTAAATTGCAACTATCGAATTTTTCAATTTCAACTTGCACTATTAGTTAAATTAAAACAATGCTAGATTGAAAATCCTAATTTTTTAATTCTTCAAAAAAAAGATTTTAAAACTAAATTTTTATTTTTAGCAAACGGACATTCCAAACATTTACAAAAAGCAAAAATACCAGGACAACAAAGCTAAAAACCAGGACAAATAAGGACAATTACGAATCTTGCATTATATTAACCGAAGATTCAAATAATCAGAGTTTGACAGTATTTTAAAATTAGTTTGAATCATTTTTGAAGCGTAATATTCGAAAATTAGAACAAAAAATTAAATAATGTTTTCAATATGCGAGACGAAAAAAATAGAAGAGAATTTTAACTAAATTATATCAAGATTTATAGTATGAAACAGAAACATATTATAACGAATTAAGATAAAAGAAAGAATTTCTGGATCAGAATAAAAATAACCTAAAATAATCATCTTATTATCTTCCAAATAGTAGATGAGTTCTAGAAAATGTAGAGAAGATTGAAAATAATTGTTCACCTTATTGACAGCTTTCTTAACACTTTCATTGCTGTTTCCTGTGACAAATGCATGCAAGGGTTCGTCTTCCCCAGGAAGAGGCTGTCCATCTTTGCGGCCTACTTTTCCTTCTTTCACTGAGCCCTTGCCACGAATGATTATCTTTGCTCCAGTCTATAAAGGGATTAAAGAGTCAGACAATGTTAATTCAAAAACTACAGGGGTAACAGCAAAGTTTTTTTAAAATTTTAGGGTAATTTTAGGAACTTTTTTCAAAAAATTTTAGGTTAATTTTAGGGGTAATATACAATTTTGCTAGGATAAAAACAGATCACACGGTAGTTTATTACATAACAGAAGATTATTACAATTCATCCACACTTATCATAAATAATTGCAAGCCATAAAATAAAGCTCTGAAATTTATTAAGTCAAGAATGAAATCTCTAAAGTGTAAAAATGAAATTTCAACTTTACATATTACCTATCAGAAATTAAGTGCATAATTCAGGAACAGGCAAAAGTGAGAATAAATCAAGAGAAAAAATAAATTAACACCAACTTGGATTTTTATTTAATTTTTACCTTCTTAATCAAAACTTTATTATTACCCTNACTTTTGAATAAAAAAACAGCAAAAAGTTTAATTGGTTAATTAAATAAAATTAATTAGTTTTTAAGCGAATTCAATGGAGTAAAAAATTATTGTGGAGGAGGAAGTTTTTGAATCGAGAGTCTATCTTATGTGAAATTATCGTTCAGTATTAGTTTGTAACTTGGAACTCTTTTTCATAACTAGCTACTTTTAGAGAACAGCTTGGATGCTCTCAGATTTGCAGAGATTGTAATATAATAGGACAAAACAATTATTGACTAAATAATAAAAATTTATATATTTTATTTTAGATACAATTTAAGTTTATCTCATAACATTGAATAAATATCAAAATTAATGGGCAGTAGATAAAGATTTAATAATGTGTGCCAGAACATGAAATCTAACAGATACTATAGATCTAATAGATTTATACAAGAATCAAGTGTAGCAGATTTCTATAGAGATATACCCATGATTCTGGATTTCATAAAAGTAATACATAGAATATTAAAATTACTTGTAATCAGGAGGCGGTTTGTACTCAGGATTACATGAATACATCTCTTGTATTAAGCTATGACGATCATCTTCTAACTTTTTCCTAGTGCGATATTCTCTCGTATTCAAACGCTTACCTTCACTGTTATAAATTGGTTCTGGAGATGGAGACCTGAAAAAAATAAATGCATAAAAGAGTGCACAGTAAAAAATATTAAATAATAAATTTTAAAAAAAAGAAAAAAGAAACTGTTAAAACTAAAATTTTAAGCGACAGGTGGGAATTGAGGTTTTAAGAAAGCTGCAGAATGAACCTAAAATGCGATTAATAGTGATAGATTTAAAAACTGGAACAGCTGAAAAAATGGTTATTAAAAAGGTAGCACGGATTGAAATTTTCCTAAAAGAAAACCTGCAATAATTAGGCTGTAAAAGAAATAGTTATTGAAGTCAAAGATTATTCGACATAATTAATAAATATACTTTTATATCTATTATTATTAACAGATGTCGTCATTTTAAACAAGATATCAAGCTGTTTCGAGACCAATCTCGAAAGCATGATTTTTTTAAGGCTGCAAATGAAATGTAAATGAATTGATTTAAGCTACTCAGATGCTGTTTTAAACACAAAAATAGAAGATTAGTAAAAGAGTTTCTAAAATATCTAAAATTACTTATAAAATGTATATTGTAAAGGTCAAAAATAATCAAGTCTATCACGTATCGTTTCAAAAAAAAAATCGAACGTTTTGAGTATATTATTCACATTTTTTCAATTTTACAAATTAAAACCGAAGTTAACATTATTTGGTTTAAAACCTATATCAATTTAGCTGTGGGTTTTAAATTAATAAAAAACAAAAATTTGACTCTTAGACAATCAAATTTATTTAGATGCAAAGAATAGTGTTAGACAAATATCAAATACAAATTAAAAATAAGTTAAGAAATAAAATTAAAATCTATAGGCAATCAAGACAAATATTAAAACTACATATTGATTCTACAATATTTGAAATTTTAAGTAAAAAGGGTCTTTTAAAAGTAATGCACATTTTCAAATGATAGCTGTAAATAAATGAAAACTAAATTATTTAACACTCTTGAATGTTTGAATCTTCATGTAATCCAAGTATAGTCTCATTTTTTTCACTATTTCCATGAAAAGACAGCCAGTTGCATTAGTCAGTGGTCTTTATCACATTTACTCATGAAATATCATTGATCTTCTAGAGCTTCAAATCTTCTTATTTCTTTCTTAATTTCATGACTTCTATATTATTAATAAATTGTATTAAACATAAGAAAATAGCAATAGTAATATTAATTCAAGTGATCATTGTTAAATTTTTTTCATCTTGTTAACTGCAGCCCGAACTTCACAATAACTACTACACATCATGATACACTGATGAGCAATTGGAGTAAAAGTCAAAGATGACATAAAAAAATATTTTAAAAAAATTCCGGATATATGCAGCTGTTTGAACGCCAATACTCAATCTGCATACTTTTTCAGCACACGTTAACAAAGATTATGTAAACAAAGCTTAAGTAGAAATATTAATTATTATCTAAGTATAAAATTTGGTAATGAAACCAATATCTTCATTTCTTTACATGCATTTTGGGTGCAAATTTTAAGGGATGTAAAAAATAATAAAATGGCTTTGTATTATTTATTGCATAAAACATGAAAAAGAAGAAGAAAAAAAACTATTAAATTTTTTTTAACTGATAGAATACCAATTAAGAAAAACTTGTTAATATTCCTAACTAGAATTGAATAAGTAAATATGTTATTTTTAATAAACTCATATGCACCAACAAAACGTTAAGAAAATGAAAATCAGCATTTCGAAAGTTATCAATATGAATATACATAACTTTAAAATTAGTAAAAAGTAATTTTAAAATCTGCAAAGCAACTGAGACTGATGGCTGTAAGCCAACATATCTCACATTCACAGTAAATATTGAATTAAGTTTATCTAAGTTTTATATTGAAACATAAAAACCATACAATGTTTCTTAGAAACTATAAGAATGAATCTATTGTAGTCCAAAAACGAGGTAACTATATAAACATTTCCATCAATATCTCAAGAATGCTCAAAAAACATTAATTATACATTTAACTGGCTTTTAAATACTTAATGAAGTACCAGTCAAAAAGGTAGAGTATTTACTTTATCAATAAGTAAATTTCTTTTAAAATTATAAGCATGATGTAGAATAAAATTAAATAAGTAAAGGATCTGAAACTGCAACATCACAGCTACATAGAAACACTGTAGGTAGTATTTCCGAACATTAGAAATCAACAGCAGGCCAACATCTGATTAAGTTCATCCGAAATGATATGGCAGGCATTCCTTGATATGCTATAACAATGACAAATGGTTACGTATTGATCAAACAGAAAACATCAGGGAAGTTAACAGTTTCAGTCTATATTTTTCCAGGTTTTTCATGAACTGTAACAAAAGTACCTATAAAAAGCAACTCTGTGATCTAATGTAATAATACAGACTTTAGTGCTTTACTTTCAAAATGACCCAAGTTATTCATATATCATAAGTTATATCATAATTAGTGATATTAAGCAGAAATAAATATTCAAGTAGAATCTTGGTAAAAATAATTAAAATTAATATACTTTGAGATACTGGAAAAATCCTAAAAATATTAGTCATAAAGTTTACTATTAGTAGTAGCCAAACCTTTCTTCAGGATTAGGGGAAATTCCAAGATCACCAGTCCGAAGACGCCTACTTATTTCCTCAATCTGCAACTGCACTGTAAGAGAGGTGGTTAGAAAATGGGGCAAGGCCCCTAATTAACATTATGAAAGAAAAACAATTTGCATTAAAATAGTTAACACTTCATATCTGTTCACTTCAGCTAAATTATAAAGGAACAGATTAAATATTGAAAAACATATGGAATTAATATATATTTGCATTAAATTATTTAGTGAAAACAAATAATCTACGCTATTAGTAAACCATATCCTACTGAAACAATTAATAAATTATACATAACATAATTGAATATGCAAACTCGTGAATCACAGCCAATGAAGTATGAATTTTAATAAACACTATTAAAAAAAATAAAACTGAAATGAAATAATATAGAAAAGGAGAGAAAAAACTGAAGCATGCAAATTCAAACAAATGTATTAACTACTAGAAATTAATTGAAAAATCACAAATGATTGCCTTAACAGATTAAAAACCTACAACAAACTCACATAGATGAATAAATTCTAGAAGAAAAAAAAAACAGAAATGTATATTTCGTAAAAAAAAAAGAAAAATATTTATAACACTTATTTAATAAATATTTAAACTATTATGAAACATTTAATAAAACATATAGGTAATGCCAGAATTATAAACAAAACTCAGCTGTTTACTAATTATGAAAGCAATTAGAAAATTCTTGATAAAAAAGGGAAACATTGCTGTGAATTCAAAAACAGTGATACCGAGAAAGAGACATAGTACAGGCTTTTAGAATAAAAATTTAATTATCATGCATTACTAATTAAAATCAAATACAATACACAAAACATACACCATTAATGCTGTTTGATCTGAAACTTATTATTTCAATAAAAATTTAAATTTTTATAATTTAAGAAAGATAGCAAAATTTACATTAATTAATCACTAACGCTACTATATTGTTTAACATGTTTGAACATATGAAATATGTTTCAGATATTTTATTTTGTCGAGTAAGATATGAAACCAAAAATATAATTAATTGAAAATGAAGATTTTCTAAATATTTTAGGACTTGAGGTATTTTCATGTTCCTCACTTTTCATTGATTTAAATAAAATAAAAAAATGCACCACATATGAAATAAATTTGCAACAGATTTTTGACACCTTAAAATGTTGTTAATTAAAGAAAGAATAAAACACAGTATAAAAATAGAGATAATTTAAAAAAATTTATACAAAGCGTATAATAACAAGGTATTTAATAATCTATAGCTTATAAAAACAAATGTCATTAAAAGTGGTTATTAACCCTAAATAGCAATTAAATCATCAATGAATTAACTATCAAAAATATGAAAATAAACCAGTTTTTCTCTTACATAGTTAATCATCAGGATGAAATTAAGTAACTGTATCAACTAAACTTTACTCGTGAAATAACATGGGATAATAGTTTTGAAATTGTTAGGAGTATACTTAATTTTGAATCAAAAATCATCAGAGGAAAAAAAAATTCAATGCGTATAAATTAAAAACAATTATGTGGTCACAGTAAAAACATACAAAACTTTAGTTATACTGCTACCTTTGTAAAAATTCCCCTGAGTTACTCTCATCTTTTGTGAACATTTTTATTACAAATACAACTTTGGTACAAATATAAACTTACCATAAATCACACACCATTTAAGTTAAAATTTCGATTCTAACAAGGACGGTTAATGAGTAAGAGAACTATGACATGCTCTTGCGTAAAAGGTTTTTAGAAATAAGACTACAAAATTATACAGTGTAAAACACACACACAACATCCTGAATAAAGTTTGACTCATGGATCAAACTCTAAAGAAATCAAATTTCAATCAAATTTAAGAAATCAAAATCAACCCATTAGTTTAGCCCTTCAGCATAGACAAATATTTAGGCAACAAAATTAGCCTTAAAAATATTTTTTCGCAGAAAAAACTTTTATTTCATAAACAGTCAAGGATTTCTGAAAAGAGCAGTCGCAGACTATCAGGGAGAAATTCCTAAAAGTTAATTTTAAATGAAGATAAAACTTTAGATAGAGGAAAAAATAAATTACACGAAAATTCTACTTCATGGAGATTTTTCTTTCTTTTTTAACAAAAGATTTTTTAATAAAAGATTCTTCATCATCATCATCTGAAAAGATATATACTTGACTTAAATGTCCACATGCTATATGAAGTTTATAAACTTTTTTTCATCAATTCAGGTAAAAAATAAATAAAAATTGAAATGAAGCATGTATTTTTAGCCCCTCATCCCAAATCTTATTAAGAATTTGAAATCTATTACTATATGAAAAATAATCACATGTCAATAAGTACAAAATCATTTGCAAATAGAAAAAAATACATATATATATATATACTTACATAAATAAGCCCTCTCTTGTTGAGGATTCAAATTATTGGGTAGAACAGTGGGCAAGCCAGGAATAAAAACTTTTTCTTTTTCATCACCACCCCATCTAGATTTCCTTTTACGTTTTCTTTCTCTATCACGCTCACTTTCTTGCCTACTGCTGTCCCCATCCCAAGAGTCTTCAGGTGGCCATTTTGTTGAAGCTGAGATAAAAATAAAAAAAAGAAATTTAGTACAGTGAAACTTAGATGACTCAAAGTAATATAGAAAGTTTGACTTATGTCTATTTAAATGTTTCCTTTCTCTATTACAACAGAGCTAAAATAAAATTAAAGCAAATAAGCAATTTTAAAATATTTCAAAGAAAATAAAGTTAAGTAGGGTTAACACCACAAGGTTGTGACTCAAATCCGGAAGAAGAAAAAATCCCTGTGTTTTCCCTGTACATATTATACACAATATATTGAGAGGAAACAACAATTACTGTGCTCTTGTGTGAGCTATATTGGGCTAACTATATTAGTTTTAATTGTTCGAAAAACTGAACATACTTCAATAATGCTTTAGTAAATGAAAAAGCTTAGTATAGCTGAAATATCAAGGTTAAATACCCGACAGATTACGCTCTGAGTGGCCACCATTTTTTAAAATACAAAATTCCCTGTATTTTCCAAATTTTTTAAAAAAAAATAATAATAATAAAGATTCCTTGTATTTTCCAAGTTTTCCCTGTAGGCAACTCTGAACCAGCTATGAAAATTTAGTTGTCTAAAAGGACCACCAAGGTATACATTTAGTAGTCTAAAAACTTAATATGGTAAAAAAACTTGAGAAAAAAAAATCTGACTTTGCAATTACATAATTTAATTTATGGTTTCATATCAAAAAATTTTTATTGTTATCTATTACACCATAACACTAATTAGGTTCATTACACTACAATGATTAAAAAATACATCCAGAGTTGCCACTCTAATCTGGAAGAAACGAATTCCCTGTACATATTACACACAATATATTAAGAGGAAACACAATCACTGTGCTCTATATGGCTAACTATACTAGTTTTAATGGCAGGAAACATTAAGAAAATAAAAAGAGGGGTAATTGTGAAACAAAGTGACAAACCTTGAACATTTTATGTGCAAAAAATCGATATCAAAATATCAATTTACAAAGCATAGATGTTTCATAGTAAAAAAAAAAAAAATTAAATAAAATTTCCTACCAATGAGGAATATCACACCTTAATAGTAACTAATTTATGAAAAATCTTAGTTCTTACAAGTATCGTGATATAGGAGTTTTAAAATCACATGAATACAAATCGTGATGTGCAATTTTTAAACCATGTGAATACAAATCGCAATGTGTAACTTAAATTGGACAAATCCGAGAATCGATACTTGATATGCAAACTGTGTGAATAGAAATCGTGATATTAGCGGATTCTGGTGCAGCTTCAAATATTTAAAATGGCGAAAATCTGCCAAACTTAAATACTCGCGTGTACGTAAGCATCTCGTTAATGGGAATTAGCAAAAATTTCGTCCGATTAAAAGTTTTTCATTAGTGAAAGTACAAGAACCAATGCTCTTGAGAAACGCAATATTCTCAGAAAAATTATATGTCGTGGTCCTAACTCTTAGACCTGGAAGCATAATACAAAAAATCCGGGATACAATCCTAAAAAGGAACAGCTGAACACACTTAAAATAAACAACGCTATAGTCTAGTATAGCAGAAATATCTACCATAAATATATGTTCCCTGTTACTTCAAAAGAAGATTGATTAACATTCCATGAGGGTGAGGGTAATAAATAGAAATAATATGTCTTGATATATAAGGTTATGAGAAGAAGATACATGTTTATATAGATGAAACGTGAAATGAAGTCAAATTATTAACCTCTAAATTAAAATTAAAATAATAAGGTTGCAATTAATATTCGGTTCTTTTGCCAAATATTTGGCTAAGTATTTTTCGACAAAGTTCTGTTTGAAATTTCAATAGATTTAATACAGAATAATCAGAATTGTACTTTTTATTGAACACTATTAGAAATAGTTAATTAGTTTACACCGAATCACAAGTTTTGCACTGCTAATTTTTTTTTATTATTATAATCAGAGAAGTCAATTTCATCATTTTTTCGACACATTTTGTTTCAAGAATGTTTCTTTTTTTTTTGCTGTTTTATTTGACATTAAAATTTTTTAACACTACGTAATAAGACAGCCTAATACATAGCAACATGAATGATTTGCAAACATTATTGTATTCCCATTACATTGATTGACGTTTTAAATTACAACAACTTAGACATTTCTTTTTTAAAGTCAATATTGAAACAACATAAGCAAGGTCAATTGGATCTAAATAGTTAAGGTTAATTTCATAATCCAATATGAAGAATAAAACGTTTTCTTACGATAGTCATAATCTTCATCTCTATCTCTTTTACTTCCTGATGACATATAATTAGGTTTCAGTAAGCTAGATGATTTTGATCCTAGCATCGCAAGACTAGGGCGTCCTAGAGGAGTTTGATTAGCGCCAGATGTTCTATGAGATGACATACCCAGAAAATTTAAAACGATAAAAATCAATAACACAAAAACAAAAGGTAAAAGTTAAACATATACTGGCAATTTTAACGCTATATTAAATGCACATTCAACAGTAAAAATTAATTTATTTACATCGACGAAGTTTCAATATCATATTTATCACGCCATCAACCATAATAAAACCAGTTGAAGACCAGTTAAAACTTTCTAATCGTAACTGTTATATTTAACAAAAGAAATAGAAGTTCAAGTAGATTTACAGTAATGTCATTTTGTATACAACCCTATAGGATCATTCCCACTGCACGTAAAATAGTCTCACAAGCGAGTTAGAAGATGCGTAAGGAACCTGACTGGTGAATTGTTCTGCGAGCTTCGCCAATCAGGTTCACATGCACTATTCTTTTTGAAATGCAATATTTTTGAAATGAGCTGTGCGTACGCACAGGATCGCTAAAATTGAAAGTTTATTCTAGGCAAATTAATAGTTTTATTACAAGTTTTTCTTTACATTTGTTAAATCTTTGATATGTCCCGCAGTGGACTGATGGTCAGTACCGTCTTTACGCATGGGCACACCCGGGCAGTGCCCAGGGGCCCCAGGCACTCAGGAGGCCCTTGAGAATCTTACTTTTTATAAATTGTATTAAAAAAAAAACTAAGAATAAACAGCTTTGCATTATATAATTTTTAAAATAAATCCCAAATAGCAAAATATGGTTAATTTTCACTCAGCAGAAACCTTTTAATGTAAACCTAAAAAGGTTGGTTATGCGGCTTACGTGTAAATCTTCTAACCTTAAAACGAGATCAGTGGCCATCTGCTC